ACAGAACATATGACATTAGAAATCTATTCAGACTCCCTTCAGCAGTCTACGTGCAGGAAATGCTTGGGGAGGAAAAAAGTAAGAACTCTGAGTAGTGAGAGACAATGAAAAAAATAGGGGGAGAAGGACTGAAGCCACATTCCACTATGTATTACATAAAAAAAAATTGTATAGTTAATTCAGTGTCAAGATTTGTAGTTTGGTCTTACAGACTGATGTCTAAATGCTTCTACAAATAAATGCCATTGGGAAGGACCATATTTCAAATGGAACCAGTTTATAATGAATGCTGAAGCTTACAGCAGTATTCAATGTCCTTTTACTTCCAGTTGTTCAGAAAAGAGATTAAGGGATCTGAAAAATGTATTAAGAAGAAGCCACACCATCTGCCAAGGCAGGTACACCACTGGGAAATTGGAAAAATATGAAAAATGACTTGAGCAAAAGAGTCCCTTTCCATTAAAAAAGAGTTGGGGAATGAAGTCATATCAGGACATCATGATGTAAAAAGACGTTAAAAAATTACCCAGGATGGAAAACTTTGTTTGCTATGTGAATGATATTTAATGACACAAGAAATATTTGGAGATGGAAGATTTTGTTGTTACATGTCCCTGTTTTACCAGGAAATCAGGAATTACAACAAAAGAAAAAGTCCTTCCTCCCTTATTCAGAACTTCTGCAGAGTTTCTTTTTAGTAAGGACCAGAGGGCTCTATTCAGTGAATTACCATTTGCTTCAATCATAGGCAATTTACCAGAGATTACTTTGCAATATCTCTGAATAGCAGTAACATTCCAAAGAATGGAAATCAAGTCATCTTTTCAGGCCTCTATTTATAAGCTCATATGTGTGCCTCTCAATCATGCTGTCAACTCCCCCTGGTTTCAGTTGAATCTTGAAATAAAAAAAGATTCACAAGAGATCTTGCTTTTGTAAATGCACCCTAAGTTTTTTCCTGAGGGGCATATTAGGAAATTAAGATTGTGTGGTTACTCCTTTGAGAATTGTCCATTATGAAGAAAGGCCCATGGGATATAAGTTTGGAAACTTCAAACAAGCAGTGTGCAAGAATCAGGATTGGTACTACCTTGATCTGGAACAGAGAACATGATACAATCACTCCACATTGCAAGGATTTTGCTATGTTATTATAGAAGGCTCATTATTTGAAGACTACCACTGTCATTTAAAAATGGGTAATAGTTATGATTTCAAATTAAACACTTAATGTCCAGTGCCATTATCAGCACACCTATCTGAAGATTGTTTTCTACATTAGATAACATCAGTGCAACTTGAGAGGGATCAGAGAGTAGGTTTCTTAGATAACATTAGAAGGGAGTGGTAAAACTTCCCTCCTAATATTTCAAAATTATCTTGCCATCACATCTGGCCATTAGCTTCCATAATATTTTTCCTGTTGAGCTAAGGTCACAGTAGATAGTTTTTCTAATAATAATAATTGTGTGAAACTCATAGGCTGATGATATTGCAGCCAGGCATCTGCAGGGTCTGTTTTTCACTATCATTCTGGCTGTAAATTACTTCCATCTTGGACAAAAGTGGCAAATCATCTCACTTTGGTGCTTATAATCATTAATCATATGAAAGTAGCACCGCCAGCCTGTTACTATGCTGGGTGATGTATAGCTTTGTAGTAAAAACCAGACTCTGTCCTAAAATGCTCACAATAAAAATAGGCATTTATACACACATGTGTAGATAAGCTTCAGCACCATACAAATGCATAATGGCTTGATTAGGATCACATGGCAAGTCCATCAAAAACATTATTGGTTCATAAATCTCTCTAGTCCTCACACACAATCTTAGGTTTCGAAGTGTGGTTTTTTGTTACTGGTCCAAGAACAAGCTCATAAAATACACCACCATGTCATCATTGTAGTTTCACTTAAAAGTGTCTTTGAGAATTCACCATACATTATTTCCAAATGTGTGTTATCTGGTACAAACAGTTGCTCAGGCTGCCTTGAATTTTTCATGGGCTTATGCAATTCACACAAACTTTAAAATTGAAGCTATATTCAATTTTCTTGTGTATTTACAGTCCAAGAGTCCAGCAATGTGTGGATACTTCTTTCAATGCATGGGGTTAATACCCTTGGCATGAAAGCTGATTCACCCATGAAACAATGACTTGCTTTTCCAGTGCATAGCTGACTTCCTAGAAACATCAGTTCCTTAAGCTACTCCCCTCTGTGTGGCAGCCTAGAAGGTTTAACATTCCTTCAAGGACCACTCATCCTATGCAGAGGAATGTGCTGTTTTAGTCAGTGGAATTGCCATTTACAGGATAACCAGACTCTGTTCTCCTATTTATTTTGCAGTCCCAGTTCCCTTACAATGTGCTCCTACTCTGTGTGCCCACACTTACAAAAGGCTTCAGGCAACAGCTCCTCTCTCAAGTTAAGGTCAATCAATACAGCTGATGTTTAATTATAGGTAGCTGACAGTGTCCTCTGGCATAGGCTAACGTTGTTAAATATAAGGTTTAAAAATATCCCTTCAAAATTAATTTTCTGCTTGTTTTTAGATGCCCTGTGTGTGCTGGTTCTTCTGTGACCTTGACAGGTCTGGCAGTGACAGCTAAAACCCTGCTTTACTTTGTCAACACTGAGATTCACTCCTACATTATAAAACAAGTCTGGGGGTTGTCACTATCTTCCACGCCACTGCATTTGATCTCGTCTGACAAAGGGGCATGAGATGGTTGTATTCATCTCATGAATACCCTGTTAGAGGTTTTTCAGCAGACACAGTCTGGGCTGTTTGCTTCTATTCACCACACGGTAAGAAAAGGACCATTTGCTTCTGTTCATCTAGTGTACTGCCAGAGAATAAGCTGTATTAAATGCACAGAGTCTAAAAGGATTTTAGTGATGTCTTGATTGTAACACTCTAACTTGAAAATTTCCAGCTTTAAAGAAAATATACTTTACATTATACAAGAGTTGCAGATCTTTCCTAAGATTTTTGTTACTCCTATGCTTTGTCAACAGTTTGGCTCCTAAGGGAGGACAGCAGTACTTAGAAGAGCTTTTAAGAAACCAAATTCACTAAGACACTGGTTCCTATTGTAGTAGGTCAGCATGTCTCCAGCTGTACTCTGATTTCCAGTAATAGACCTAATCTTCTAAAGCAATAAGTGATTCCAGCCAGGACACCTGCACCATTACACCAGGTAAGTCCAACCTCACCTCCTTCTATGCTTACCTTTGGGTTGGTCAAATTGTTGCTGAAAGGGCCCCCAGGAAAGGGTTAAGCATATTAATGAACTTGTGTGTTTAATGAAACGGAGATAGTGTACTTAAAATACTGAAAGAAAATTTAAAACAGTCCAGCATTGCAAAACAACTTTATGATGTTTTAGCTTAGGGTTTTGTAAATTCCTTGACTTCTCTACAGTCATGATATCCGTGGTTTAAGTTCTAAATATATAAAACCTGTTTAATAGAATCAGTAACACTTGTAACAAAGAAGTACCTTCTATTCTAAAATGTCAAAGTATTTTAAACACTAAACAAAACCAGGGAGAATAGAATCTCTGCAGTCAGTGTTTTGAAATATAAAACTCCATGTATTTTAACCGAAACAAAAGGCAAATTTCTTACTATCTTCCCTGAAGATTCATAAGTAGGAGCTCTAATTAGATCTCATCCAGTTAAAACTTAACAATTAATCCAAACTGTCTTCAAAAGGATCAGTGCATTGTGATGTGCATTATAAAGAGAAAGAAATTATAGCTGTCAAGTGTCAGATTTTACTTCTGTTACTCACCCATCACTGAACCTTGAGACTAAGCATCTTATTTTAATATTTCTGAGCAATGTGATTTTAATTGTTGTGATTAAGGGATTGCAGAAACGTGTCCCACGTGAAGACGACACTCGATGAAGTATTACCTCTGCTTTTAGAATTACCTTTGATCGCACTTGTAAATTCGCAGTGGATTTCCCATTAATTAGTGTGAATTAGATAGTTGTGGCTGTTCAGTTTAGGTTAATTCTAAGTGTTTTACAGTGCATCACTAATTATTGGGGGAGAAAAAAATCCAACCCTTATTAAACAGCCCGCAGGTGCAAGGGATGCGTTCACCCTGCTCCATGTATGTTTCTAGGGGCTGGCAGCTTCTGCGCAGCGTTGGCCTTGGATACTTGCATAGATCCTGGCACCACCACCACGGGACCTCCTCGTCCCGCAGAGAGCGGCTTCTCCAAGGCCAAACACAGCGCAGGGAACTCAGCTCAATCCTTCTTCCCTCCCCGAGGATCCCATCCCATTTTCCCGTCCGATTCACCCTCGGGAGCTCTGCTTCCCAGACATCGCGCCGCTCTTTTGTCCTCGGTGCGAGGCCTCGGCTGAGCTCCTTTTCACATGTGTCAACGCTGGCCCGTAATTAGCGCTCGCCGCACAATGAGCCATTGCCGCTCTGCAAAGGGCTCGGCGTGCGGCTGCTCCCGCCGGGGCCGGCCAGGTGCCCAAACACAGGCACCATTCCCCACTCTTGTAAATGCCGCGACTTGGCAGACGGACACGCAGACCGCGTCCTTTGTTCCGCAGTCGGGACAGAGCTGCCTTCGCAGTCTCAGGCTGGGCAGAGATATTTATCTCTACTGTGCTGTACCAGGTCCTGCCCGGGGAGTGGCGCGGGAGTTCCGGCTCGTAAAGGTGGGCCGCAAACACGCCAGCCCTCACCTGTCCCCGGAGGACAGGGCAGGGCAGGGCAATCCCCGGGGAAGCCGCGTTTCCCCCGGCACAGCGGGTGCTGATCCTTACGGACACCCCTTCGCTCCACCCGCGGTACCGGGGCGGAGCTCTGCCCGCCCCGCCCGGCGCCGCCGCGCCTGCGCCGCTCAAGGCGGGACACCGAGGAGTTCCGCGGCGGGTGGTCGGTCCCGGGCTGGGCGCTGCGGGACGGGCGGGTGAGTTCTCTGCGGGCACAGGCTGGGTAGGGGCAGCGCGTCCCGCAGAGCCTGCACTCCCTGGGCTCCTGCCGGCGCTCGGACTTTGCCCGCGGCCGTCCCTGGGCGGGCGGGCTGAGTCTCCCCGCTGCCTCCGCCCTGCGGCTTCGCCCTGCTCCGAACCGGCCGCGTCCCGCAGCAGGAGCGACCCTCGGGGGGGCCCGGCCTGGCCCCTCCCGGGGCGTTCCGCCTCCGCGTCCGTACCGTGCTATTGCCTCATCGCCTAAAAATACCTTCCGGCTGGTTTGGCAGCGGCGGGAGGCGCGGAGCGTGTGCCCGGCCTGGCTCTCGGGGTGCGGGTGAGTTCAGGTGTCGCAGACGCGGGGTTGTCCCAAAATAGGTTCTTTGACCTGCTGTGCATGAGGCTAATCCGCACACAGAGCCGAGGTACTTGATTTATTTGTGGTTCTGAGCATAAAGAAGGGCTGGGTGGTAAATCCACAAAGCCAGCACGACTATCGAAACTTCTCACGCTTTATACGTGTTAGCAAGCCTAGCATTTAATGTTCACTGGCTACCAGTTTGGGTAGTTGTCTTATTAGTGAGTATTCTGTCTTTATTGGTTAAATTATTCTCTTCCTTCTTATGCTAAGTAGCCTGCGTGCTCAGTCTTTCTCTTCTTTTAGGTAGGTGATTTTCTTGAGTTGGTGATCTATAAGTTGCTTGTCGTGATTTTGCCCTGCCAGAATTACCTTTTACCCACTTGGAAGTGAATTCAGCACAGTTGCTGAGCTGGCTTTATTAGTTTCTTATCGTGGAAGTTCTGCCCAATGTCCTTGTGGCCTGTAAATTGTGCATTCTTTGTGTCCACCGTCAGTGGTATATCCTTCTTCCCAAGCTTTGTTTAGCCTCTTTCCCTTTAGATCTGAGATAGTTGAAGCATGTCAAGTCCTAAACCTTAACAAGGCAGTTCTACAGACAAGTAATGTATCTTTCTAACACCTGGACATCAAGGTTGGGGACAGGTTTCTTTCTGAGTGCACAGCTCCTTCCTCCATTCCAGCTGGAGAGGAAGCGTGAATGCTGTGGTTTGTACCTGAGCACATCAGTCATGTTCAGGCCATTAGGTTTGATGCTCATCTCGCTATTAATTTGTACTTGCTATTTCTCTGTAGCCTCCCATCTCTCTGTGGCATGGTACAGTGCAATTTTCAGCTGCAATTTCTGTGCTGTGCAGGGACAGACTGTGCTGTGCTGTGAGCAGCTCTCAACTGGAGAGTTCTGCCAAAGTTAGTAAGGGGTTAGCAGGCTTTCAGGGGAGGGGGCTGCATGTGCTTCTGTGGGTATTTCTGCCCTTCACAGCAAGGACAGCCTCACAGATAGTTAGTGTTTTGTTTCTCTTGTGTTAAAATAACTGGAAGTGTGGGCTCAAAAGTATTGACCATAAAATTATTTGCCTGGAAAAATATGCCTATTGAGGGCTGTCTGTTTGGAAATCCTGGCTGTGAAAGGCCATTGCTGGGTCAGTGGCCCATCTTGGTGGGGCTGTGTGGGAATGGCCAGGAGTATCCTAACCCCAATTAATAGATGTAGCTGTGGTGGGCTGCTGGCATTTGCAGCTTCTTATGTTTTAAATTTAGTTTCTGGAGGTGGTAGTTCAGTTCTGAGGTACTTTTTGCCACTGACGCAAGAATTACGTACCAAAATTCTTACCATTTCCAGCAGCAGCTAGGGATGTCTGTCAGAAGTTGGTGGGAGGAGGTGGTTTGTGCTGCCTGGGTTGACACGCTGAGCTAAAGTGCTTGCAGTGCGTTCTGATGGCTGTGTTCTAGCAGCTTTTGGCCATAATAAACATCAATATGCTGTATAGGATGATTCTTCACCTAGAGAGATTAGCACAAACATTTCTTCGAAGTGTAATTGCTGTTGTACTTTAGAAGGAACAGCAGCTTTTACAGCTGACCAGTTTTGAATACTATTCATGCACATTTGAGGCCAGCCTAATGTAGCCAAAGAGCTAATTTGAAGAGCTGCTTCATTGTGTCTGTTTCTTTTTAACAGCTCTGATGACAAGTCACAGAGGATCAACAAAAGCAGATGGCAGGAGGTGGCTCTTGTTGCTTTGGGGAGTAGCCTACTGGAGTGAAAGATTAGAAGATAAGCACATTAACATAAACCACAAATAATTACTTTTGGCTAAACACAAAAAAACCCTACATGCCAGAGTGTTAAAACTGAATTTGAGAGAAGTTTGAAAAAATTATACTTTTTAAGCATTCTGGTTTCACTCTGCTCACTTGATACTGAGAGGTTTTTTTTTCCAAGTGCACTACGGAGTTCCAAGAGCAATAAACAGATATGCCTATAACATCATCATGTACCAGCACAGGCTTGCCTGATAGATGTAGGGCTCTGGCAGAACATTTGTGGGGGAAAAAAAAAGACTATACCTCATCTTGTGTGACATGTCAGAGGTGTGCAAAACATGTTTTGACTTAATGTGTAACAGCACCAGTTAAATTTAATGTTGACCGTTGTAGGTTTTTTTTTGGAGGCTTACATATTTTTCTACAGAATGTGTCTTACATGGATTTTAACTTTCAAATTGAGAGAATACCAGTATTCAAGTACCAAGGAGAATTAGTACTGCATGTGGTGGGGTTTTTTTTGTGGTTTTTTTCCTTTTTAATTTGTGCTACAGTGGACATTGTTTTCCCCTAAACTCCACATCTTGTTAAATTATATCTCAAAATCACGTAAAATTCATATTAGTGGTGTTGTGCATCCTGCTTTGTTCAGGAGTGTGATGGCTATCACTGCTTAGTTTGAGGCCACACACAATGTCATAACTTAATCCTCAACCTGCCAGGAGCAGGCCATCATCTTTGTAAGCAGTGGTTGTCAGGGTTAACTCTCTGAGCACAGTTGCAACTGAAAATTTCTGGTTTCCTGTGGGTTTTTCCAATTGTAGAGTGATTTTATTTTTTAAGGGTGTTTTTGGGAGTTTCTGGCTTTTAGTGACTTACTGTGACTTTCTTCAGAGCATTCAAAAGTGACTGTAATGAGATCAGTGTGGGATTCTTAATTTCTTTTGACTCAGCAGAGTAATCCTGTATCATATTTAGTACTTACAAATCCAAGATTTTCATGCCAGCTGACAGTAGGCCAGAAATGATAATTCAGAGTTTCTGAATTGCTGCAACAATGTCTTGAAGTAAGGTAGGAAGGGTAACCTGACAAATCTTGCCCCTTTAAGTAAAGCACAGTTAAGGTGAAGGTCACTCAAATGCCTGCAGTGGCAGTGCAGTTTTTCTGCAACTATCTCATAATGCTGTGTAAAATCAGGGAAGTTTTAAACCATGCCACTCAGAAAAGATTGTGATTTTTTTTCCCCTCCCTTTACAGGAGTATGGGCATGTGTTTTCACATCATACTGGTATAATTGTGAAATGTATTTTGTACATTTATGAAAAAGTAACCTTGCTCCTGAATGTCTGGCACAGATGTGTGGTTCATGTGTCATTAAATTAGAAACTGCAGGAAAACAAAGAACCATCTGGAGACTTGGTGGGGGGCAAGGTTGAGGTTTCTGGTTAAATGTATTACCAACACAGGAAAAAATATAAAGAGTGCTTCAGCTACAAAAGGAGACAAAGTGTGATAGGCATTTTGTTTTGTTTTGGCTTTAAACCATTTTCTTTTTGTAATTAGGGGAAGCACCAGAATGAAAGACATGGATAATATCAAAACTGTAAAGAAAGAATGGTAGGTGCCAGTTCTCCCTATTTTTTATCTTCCTTTCCCATTGCTGTTTGTGTGTCCTGTCATTACTTTTCAAACTTTATGTTAAATTCTAAAATACAGTATTTTTACTGTATTCATCTGTTCCACATATACAGAAAAATCCTGTTGTTTTGCTGAAAGATTTTTCATATACCTGAAATGTTTCCTAGATGCAAGAAGCTGTGTAAATATTTTAATTTAAAATATTTAAAGGCAAGGCAGCCTTTCAAATTGCTAACTCACTGTGCAGCTCTGCATCTGACGCGGAGGTGTTTGCTTTTCCAATTCTGTTTCTGAGGTAAAGCATAGTGAATACCTACGTTAATGCTTCAAGTTTCTTTTGTTCTATTAGAAAACTAAAATGTGGACAGCATACTTTTGAAATTTCTTCTTTAAAGTTATTGAGGTTTTCTTTTGTTTAAGATGTTAATCTCCAGGGATTCTTAGTGGTGCATAGGTGCATTGCAAACAATTCAATTTTATGCAAATGTATCTAATTAGCATTCCAGTAAGTATTGCTGCTCTTGAATTCAATGCAGAGTTTTATGTAAAATTGGATAATTTTTCAGGAGCTGGGATTTTTATTTTCTGAATTGCTGAAAACAGACTTTTCTGAATCTGCCTTAGGAGTAACTCCTGCAATGTTTATGAAAAGCTGCATAATCTTCTTACTATGCAGAGAACCTATACTGAGATAATCATTCAGTTGCATATTTCTGCATTTTGATTGGTGAAAATCTTACAAACAGCTGTCACATATACAGTGTTCTATAAAAAGATATGATTGATGCATCTTTTTTAATATCCTGGCAATCTCCACAGTGTTGAAGGCTTCCATTGTATTTCTTCAGTGTGCTCCAGTGGTGTTGAGTTACTTGAGTTTCCCTAATGCACAGTCCAAAACAGTAATGGTGGTTCTGGGATGGTGCTAGGAATGGGGAAGTTCAAGTTGGGGTTGATGAGTAAATCCTAGGGCAATTTTCTTGGTTTTTTTTTTTTAACTTATGGCAAAGGAGCCGTATCATGGAAATGCTTTAAGGAAAGCATTTCATTGGTGAGCAGCTAGGTGTATGATGGTTAGAAGTCTGAATAATTTAACTTGCATTCCTGGCTCTGATACCAACTTTAGAAGCTTTGCATAGATTAGTTCATCTTTTTTGATGATGTTCTTTAGCTTGTGCTTTTGAAGTGCAAATTGTAGCAGTTAGAGATTGGTAAGAAGTTTATAGAGAAGGCACAATGCAAAGTTGACCTGATGTTTATACTCAGTAAACTGAGTAAGCTGGGTACAGGAGAGTGTGCCTTCTATATTTCTTGGTACTGAGATTCTGAGGTACCTACTTGTCTTCTAATGTGTCCTCTGAGGAGTCATTTATGCTTCTGTCTTTGTTCTGCAGGGTGTGTAAATCAGGAACTGATGATCAGATTTTGAACGGTACAGAACAAAACTGTGACTACTTTGTAGATAACCTTTTTGAAGAAGCTCAGAAGGTTGGTGCTATGTGTGTGCCCCCAACTACAGTCAAGAACCAGGTAGGCAGTGAAGAAAAAATAGTCATGTTTGTTATAACAGCAGTCCAGGACTATTCTGGAGAACAGATGCCAGAAGTCCAGCAGTGTTTTCCAGTCCATCAGTAAAAAAATACAGAATTCAGAAAGCTGTAGGAACAGCCTCCCATCTCCCAGTCAGCCAGGCCTTTGCTGCTGGGCTTTTGGCTCTCACTGCTTTGTAGTTGGTTTAGAGTCATTCTAGAACTGATGCTGGCATTGGCTTATGCACTTCTGCTTTATTACGAAGGAGTGAGGTGAGCAGGAGTTCAAGGAATGACAAGTACTGTTATATAAGAAGTTATTTAAGGAGCTGCAGCCTTTTAATGCAGAGGCATAGCCCAAATATTTTTCATTTGGTCTTATTCATATAATTATGGTTGTCGTGGGATGTTCAGTGTGGGTTTGTATCTCAGTGATTCTGTCCTTTTCGTGTTTTTCTGTTACTCATCAGTGACTGGTAAGGGGAGGGAGAAAAGGCCATGTAGGACAAAAATGACAAAAAAGAAATTTGGAGTGGGCATTGCTAGAAATTATGTTCATAGATCCTTAATTGACCCTGGAAGAAATGAAATGTCAGGAGCAATATCTTAAATTGCAGTCCTGAAATAGTGTTCCATGGCATTCGTTGTGTCAATGCTTAAATGGGAAGTTGGTATGGAATAATTAGTCCATGTTAAATTTGCATTCTGGCTCACTGTAGAGGAACCTTCCCAAAATTAGAACTCTTTCCATATGCATTGGTGCCATGAGACACAAGAGTTTTTGATGGAATCTAATCTTGCTGAGTGCTGTCTGCTTCTTTTGACAGATCATCCAATGGAAAGACAAGGAATTCTATTCAGCAGTTTGCACATGCTGTTTATTTATGTAGCAATCACCTAACAAGTCAAACTGGGGAAAAAAAAAACCAACAAACTTGTCAGGTGCTATCAAGCCTCATTCAAACTAATTTTCAGCTGAGGTGAATTCTGCATTTGTGGCCTCATCTGTGGCCAAGTATCTGCCAAGACATTGTTATTCCAGGGATCAAACCTCGATAACCAAATACTTCCTTAAATGGCATGGTGCATTAATATGAAAATACAATCTCAAATATCCATCTTACAGTTGGAGAGATTTCAATAAACATTGCAATGGCTACAGGTTGGAGTAGTAGATGATTTCTGGCAAAGTTAAGGAATTACTGAGAATTTATTTTTTCATTCCCCTAACCACCAAGGTTTTGAATACGCCCAGGAATTCTAGGGTAATATAAGTATATGACTGTCTGAAAGTAAAGTTTCTGATACTTGCTTCATTTCCTGAGTGAAAGGCTTCTGCATGCATAATCTCAATGCCTTTACTTTGAGAAAATCCTCCTGAATGATTGGAACAAGGCTTTACCCTAATAAATCCCCAGCTGGACTATTCTGGCACTTGGTGTTCCAACACCAGGCATGTATGCTCTCAAATTAGCTCTTGAAGAGTTGCAGCTGGCTGGGATAGTCCAGCTATTTTATTTTTTTTCCTCTGCTGAATTGAAGGAGTGTTCTTGATCTAGGAAGCCAGAATGATTGGGGGAAGGTTTGTTTATAACCCTGATTGACACAAGATACTTAAAAATGTCACTTAGCCCTTGCAGTTGCTGTGCCTGTTGGCATGGGGCCAAGGCAGATTACAGTGAGCCTGCTCTCAGTATTTTTAGTCCATGAAGTGGATGATTTATAATCACAGGGTATGTGTGTATACCAAGCTTCTTTTTCATCAGTGTTATAATGAGAACTGTTCTTACTCTGTAGGTTGATGTAATCATTAAACTTTGGAAAAATGGGTTTACGGTAAATGATGGCGAACTTCGGAGCTACACTGATGTTGCAAACCAGCAGTTCTTGGAGTCCATTAAAAAGGGGTAAGTGAGTTTTGTGTTCTTAACCAGCCTGAGTTAATGTGCTTTGGGCAGCACTTAGCTTATGCTCTAAATTTTTTACGTGGCTTTGCTGCACTGCAGTGTCCCTGTAGGAGCACAGGCCCTGCCAGTCTCGTTCCTGCAGTGCTAATGGCTGTTGGAACATCAACAGGTTTAACACAGCTCTCAGTGGCAGTAGTTGTACAGTTGCTGATGAATAGATAAAAGCCAGTGTTGGCAGGGGGCACAGCAGGTGCACAATGAAATAAAGAATAAATCAGTGCCCAATAAGAGCTACAGATCAAATGGTATTTTGACTAATGAACTCAGTGCAAAAGGGGTTGAGCATTTCTGGTTTTATGGTCTTTTTCTTTTTGTTGATGAAAAGCCTTAAATGGGCACAGATGTTCTATGTATCATCAAGTAACTCTGATCAGTCTTAAATTTCTGACATTTTTCCAAGTACAAACTTGCTGTTGTGTATATATAACAATCTTGCATAAATTCCTGTGTTAATAGCCATCTTACATTTTTCCCTGTATTAAAAGTTTACATGCTGTCCTGATTTCTGCTACTGTTTGCAGTTGTTGCTTTAAAAAAGGAGTTTGACCATACTAACCAGTGTTATTTTGAGCCTTTAATTTGTAGTCTGTTTCCTCACCATGTACAAATGGAGAGAAGAATATAATGTTATGGATAATGTAATTTAATACCTCCTTATCAAGCATGTGAAATTACTAAGTCATTATATTTTTCTTTTCCATATTTTGCTAGGCTGCCAAAAATACTAATTTTACACTATTTCTCCTGTATGTCTGTCACCTGTGTTAGTTGTAATAGCAATTAACTGCACTGTTTAAAGCCCTTTGTGTGCATTCATCAAAAGTTTGCCAGTTTTATTCCACTGTTTGCCTGTGAAGATGCTAATTATGAGATGGTTTCTACATAATCATTGATGGTGGAGAAGCATTCAGTACAGCCTCTGTGCCATCTGAGCCCCACCACCCAAAATTGTACTGTCTGCCTCAGAGCTCAGAGACAAAGGCATTGTTGTATTCTGCTTCATGCAATTAAAGCATTACCAAGTTGATGTTACTGCACTAAAGAGTGGAGCTGTTAGTGATGATACCATTTTTTGAAGCTGAGATCTGTGTTTGTCATTAAATACATTGTGTGTAAACTCAGTTCTTCCTCTTTAAAAGCCTTTTTCTTTTTTTTTTTCCTATGGAGATAAAATAATTGAACCCTTTGCAGCAGTGTATGGCAACACTGAACTTCCTACACATTATGTGTTTAGAGTGGTAACTGCTGAGTAAATTTGAACATCATTCAACAACTTGCATCATAGGGGTTTTTTAATTATATACTTTCTAGTTAATATGCTATTCAGGAACTTGAAGTTATTTGTATGCTATGTACTTAACCTAACTCATAGTAAATACTTGTGAAGATGTTTTTTAAAAGCATCATCCTTGAAGGGCCAAATGTTGAACGGATATTAATCATTGGTCTATTTTGTGTACTGAAAACAGCATAGTACTTTTTTTTTGACCTTTTGTTTTTTTTTCTTAAGGGAACTGCCTTTTGAGCTGCAAAAAGTTTTTGATAAGGAGGAGGTAGAAGTGAAAATGGAAGATAAAAAGGATAAGGTGTATTTGTCATCGAAAAAGCCAATGTTTCATCCCTTTTCTGGACATGGTTACAGATTAGGAAGGTGAGTAGGCTGGTGTGATCTATGATTGAGTAGCTGAAGGGAACTATACCTGTGGTGAAGGATCAAAATTCAGGTGGCAAGCAATCTCTGGAGTTTTCTAGTCTAAACTCCTGCTCAAAGCAGGGTCATCTGTGGAGACAGATGAGGTTACTTAGGCTTTTATCCAATTGGGTCTTGAAATCCCATAAGAGCAGAGGCTGTGCAGTCTTTAGTGCTGGACTGTCCTTATGGGAAAGAATATTTTCCTTATATCCAGTCTGAATGCCTCTCATTGGAATTTCTGTCCACCATAATGAGCATCACCTCCTCCTGCAGACCCTGGCAGGCTGCTTTTATGTGCCCCACAACGACCACCATCTCTTCCACAGGCTGAGCAAGCTGCTCTCCTCCAGCATCTGCTGACAGTGTGAATGCTCCATCCTGCAGGCATCTTGGTGTCTCTCCATGAAGCTTGGGGGATAATTGGCTCCCACAATCCACTGGACGAGTTGCTGTGTTGATACAGCCAGGAAGCTCTTGGCTTTCTTTGTTCAAGGTCTCAGTATTAGCAGAATTGTTTCCAGCTGAAATGCTGTCACTCTTCTATTCCGTGATTTTAGAGAAAATAATCTCTTTTTAAGCTGTATTAGCAATAATTTGAGAAGAAGGGGGAATATGACAATCCCATAAAGAGAACCAAAGAAGTAAGAGGTTATTGGCATTCTCTTAAAATTGTTCAGTAATTAATCATGCATGTATTGCAGTAAGGCATTTTAGCATTCTACAATGATCCGTGTCTTTTTTGTAGTTGGAGCGTGTCAGCCGCTCATGCCAATGCTGAAACTGGACTTGATTTACAACCAAACAACTATTGTCTTTTGGAAGGCTGTTGTAGGGCAACACGCCAGGAGTTCGTTTATTTGATCCCTGTGACTTTTGCTTACTCCAGCCACATTATCTGCTTGAATATCCCTGTCATGCAAGACTTGCGTGCCTATAGAAGCAGGCTTTGGCCTAGGGACCAGGACATGTTCAGTGACCAGTTGGCACTGCTGAGTGACCTGCAGGCTGGAGTTCCTAAGCTGTGGTGCAGCCTTAGGTGAACAGCTTGTTTCAATTAAGTGGGAAGGGTTTGGCTGCTAAGGCCCAGAGCTTGTGCTGAGGGAAAGCCTGACCTGGGCAGGAACAGCTGAGGCAGGGGAAGATGATAATGTGCAGAGCAAAAGACTGATAAAGGTAAAGGGTGAGTGGTTCCAGGCTGACTCAGAGAAGCAAGTATCTGTTTTATGAGTTTCATCTGTTTCTGTAGTACAGACCATTGAGTAGATACAGTGGGAAAACCTTCCCTTGAGAGATAGGTGAGATGCTGGAAGATTTGCTTTTGGTGGCATGGAAATCCTGAGCAAACAGGGGTCAAGAACTTAACCTTGTTATATCTACAAGTAGAGCTGTTCATAACAAAACCAAAAAGATCTTCAGTGTGCTGCTAAGCAGTGCTAAATGCTAGGTTGTTCAGTCACTTCTTGTGCTCTGCCATGCCTACAGCAAGTAATGATCTTGCTTCCCAGTAGGCAAGTTAGGTTTCAGAAACATGCTAATCTGTGAATTTTGGTTCACTGGTCTTGTACACTGAGACATTCTACAACTTGCTCAGCATTTTTTATTATTTTCCTACTCTTCTTTGTCTATTCTGTGCTGTGCTATCAAAGCCTTTTCCTTAAAAATAAGTTGATATTAGGGCTGATGTTGGAACCATGAGCCATAAGTATTCGTACTCCATAAAGTAGTGCTCACTTTCTGCTGTTGATAGATGTCCATTGCATGAATTCACACCACACTTGGAGCAGAAAAGCTTTGTGGGGCAGCAACAGAGCTGACTGAGACCTGGAACAAGTTTTAAGCTATAGAACTCCTTTTCTGTGATTAGAACTCCTTTTGTGTGATTAGTCAGAAATGAGAGAGACAAATGACTGAAGAGTTTACTTTAGCTTATAGCCTACCTAAACCTCTGCTTAGCAAATGAACTTATAAAATTAATCTTGTATATTTTGTCAAGTGTTTCCAGGATTTTGTAATGGATGAACCATTTTCAATTGGTCTATTGACTAGTTCTCAAAACTTTAGTTGGAGGATCTGGAAATAACATATATGTTGATATAGCTCAGACAAGCTTGATCCTCTGCCTTTTTGTTCTACAGGAGAAATAAGTAAGACATATCAAAATTTTCCAATGTGCCTTACGAACCTATGTAACTAATGGGTATACTCTGTTTTATCTATCACTGTCCAGCTGAATTTCAGAGTTTGGGATTTATGACTAGATTTTCAACCCCACTTTTCTATTGAGCTAATCTATGCACCTCCGAGACAGCCTCAGAAACATGTTAATTTGACTGAATATTGACTGAAACCCCTTGTAGCAAAGCAAGCTTGCTCTGTAACCTCATTAGGCTAAAGCATTGTGTGTCAAGCTGCCTAACCATCAGTCAGGGTAAGGCATGACACCTAACTGCTGGACTTTTTCTTGTCAGAAAATTGACAGGATGCTCTTAGGTCTCTTCAATCTCTAGTTTACATCTTCTGTTGATAATCTTATAAAAGAATAAGCCTTAAAAGGAGTTACAATGCTTTGATCTCAGGCTAATAATAATTACATTCTTGGGTTTTGGCTTTAGTCAAAGCTCCCACCACTAGATGGCTTTATCTGTCAGTTCTGCAAGAGAAAAGTTTTTACATATAGAAGTGCTTTAGATCTTGGTGAATACAGATGCTCTAACTTTCTCTTAAAGCTTCATTTAATGTGCTGGCTTCAGTCTCACACACATTTGCTATCGAAAGAATCACCTCCAGTGCCTGCTGCATATGGAGATGTGACTGTGAAGGAGGTTGGTTTGGAAATGACACCAAAATCTGTGTCCTTCTAGGCAGTTGTCTGAGCTACAGCTGAGACTGATGTAGCCCAGCCCAGCCTGAGCCAGACACTACAGCTGGACACATCTGCAGCCTCTGCTGTCCTGGAGGCAGCTCACTCACAGGAGTTCTGCAGTGTCTGAACCAGCAACTGAACAGCAAGAGCTGGGCATGGCTGGACTGAAGTATGACTTGAAATTATTTTTTTTTTCTCTGCTTGCAAAACTGTTTAACATTATCTTGCTGGTACTCAAGCTTTTATTCCTGATCTGGAGGGCAATTAAGTTTTATTTCGTATTGAGGTCAAGCATGAACAGAAGCTGTTTGTGAGGCAGGTAGGTGCTAGTACATCACCCATACTAGAAATGCCAGAATATTTTACAGATGTGCCTCTTGTAATTTGTTGGTGGCAAGTCCTTGTGCCCCAGCTGATTTATGTGTAATGCAAAACAGTTCTGTACCTTTTACCTGTCTCCAGTCACAGTGAACATCTCTAACTGCTCACTTGGAAATGAGATTTCTTGATTCTCATTCTTTTTGCTGTTTCTGTGGAAGATACAAAGTGCCTCTGCTGGCTAATAACCTAGAAGTTAGGGCAGCACTTAAATGGGCAATAAAAGTTTTTGAAATAGCTCTGACTGAACTTGCACTTAAGACTCCAGCTTTATTAGCCTGAACATATTAAGTCTTTAGCTAATAATAAATTAGCTTTGACTTTTCCGCCTTATGAATAAACTAATACAGGTACAAGAACATAAGAACGGGGTTTGTCTGCAAAGCAGGTGTGCAACATAGTTACAACTGTTACTCTGTGGACTTCAGTTACCCACTTTTCTCTCAAGAAGCTGTAACTCAACCAATTTTCTGTGCAAAGAGAGCTTTTCTGCAAACTGCCATGTAGTGCTCATGTAGTCTGTGACCACAGCTGAGCTCAGAGGAGAAACTCCTTTAAATCACTGCTATTGTTCTGCAAGCAAACATCTGGTTATACTCACGGGAGCTGAGAATGTGCCCATTGGATCAGGCCCAGTGAGGATTTAAACTGTACATGCTGAACAAGCTTAGTCATGAAAGAAGCACTAAGCTCTAGGCATTTCTTCAGCATAACATTTTTTGCCAGCAGTTTTTTTGTTTGTATTTTAAGACTATGCACTTGGACTGAGGTTGATGTATTCTGTTAAGTCATTTTATGAATCTTTGCCCCTGTGGTTTGGTCAGCTGTGGAAAATGCCTTAGGAAAAAAAAATCCAACTGCTGTGTGCATCAGTCTGGGTTTTTCACATTAAGTCAATTTTTCTGATAGATGAGTAATTCTTCTAAGCTGAGATAGATGATGCTGGAGTCTAAATCAAGGCTAACAACATTCAGTTAAATTGAATTACTGTAATCACATTACCCTGAAAATTAACTTTGAGTATGCAAATTCAATACTCAACCCCCTTTAAATTTCACCTGTGTGATTTGAGTACAAAAATGGATGAGGAATCTTCAGACAGTTTTGTCTCTTGTATATTCATATTTAATCCTCTGATATTTAAAGCTCCTTTCTATCTTATAAAAATGTTAAACACAAGCAAACTGAAATTCTTTAGTATGTTTTAGTCAGTAAGTGAAAATAATGGCATACATGTAGGAAATAAATAAGGAAGAAAGAAAAAAGCTGATATTTATGTTACTGTTCCTATATTTGTTAAAATAAAAAGTCATCAGCACACTCTGCTATGGGGCAGAAAGCTCCAGAAGCAGAGGTCTGGGGGGAAGTTTGAGCTTGCATGTGAATACAGGAGCCATAACCTCATGTGACTTTTCTTTTCAGTGCTACTCCAAAGATAATCTCTAAAGTGAGAGACGATCATCCAGGACCTCATGACAAAAGACACCTGCCTTTAGTACCCTTGAATGATTTGGAGCCTATCACCAATGTCCAGATCTGGTTAGCTGATGGGGAAAGGATAATTCAGAAATTCAATGTTTCTCACAGGTAGAATTTATTTAACTGTCATATATATTTGCATCTGAACTATATATCTTAATGCCTGTACATTTAAGTCTTTAATTTTTATGACTAGTCTACCTCCTCAGTCCACTTAGCATTGGACTGCCCTTCAGTTGTATTTGGAAAATCTTTGAAAATTTGAGAAACCTTTTAGCTGACAAGCAAGCATAAGAGAAATGTGAACTGTTAAAAGTCAGGTCATAGCTGAGTGTAAAGGAAAATCTGAGAAAACTGTAGGAGTTCTTTGTAGGTTAGTGAAAGTTAAGGTGTACATATTGCTCATTACTAGAAGAAATAGCTTTTAACATGATAGATCTCTCACAAAACAAATACATCTGGAACAAATGGCATAGTAAAAAACCTGCTGGTCATTGGGCATAGGCAGCACCACATGTGAGAGCTGGAGAAAGGGACTTCGAGTTAAGCCAGAGAAACCTCTGGGGAGGGCTGGAGTTGGTCCACTGGGCAGGGAGGTTCATCCCCTGCATGTCAACATGGACAGAACAGAATGCACACAGTATGTTTAATTCTTAATTAATAAAATTTTTGGTTCCCAAAGAGGCTTAGAAATGAGGATAATGTCAGAAGGTGTCAGCACAGCACATGTATGAAGGAGCTTTGAGAAAGTGGGATTAACACCTTACCATTGAATTGCAGAGCTACTGTCTTTAGAGACCTTTCTCAATTCTGAATTTGAGAAATCACTGATGTACTGTACACTCATGTCATGTGGAAAGGATATGTTGCCTGTGCTTCTCTGTGAAGCAGTTTAAAGGTATTACAGATTTAATACAACCCAGGCTGCTGTCAAGATAAACTCTGTATGTCTGTGGCTGGTCAGAAGGAAAGCTCAGCTCTTGAAGGTTAATGACTGTAGTATTTTCTTTGACTTGTACTAATTTATTACTGTTAGCAGCCTGATCTATGAACTGAAACACTGTTGTGATGTACTGTTGAAGGGTAAATTGCTATTTTAATTATCAATGCTTCATTGAAGGGCTTCATATCTCAATTATTCCAGGTCCCACACACTTAAGTATATTTAGAAGCGTTTTGTCTTCATAGTAAATAACCATTCGAACAGCTGCTAAGTGTTTTTGAGAGGAAAAAAACATCTGAGATAAGCAGAAAAACAGCTCTACTGGTGTAATGCTCTTTTTGAAGTACTGTGCAATAAATATTCTATCATAACATAGCCTCTTGCCACAAGACCAGCACGTTTGTGCTGTACACAGTACTTGTGTATAGCCTGATAAGAACTAGAGGGAAATCCTTTTAGAGCAATACCCTTAAGAGTGATGATTGCATACACAGCACTCCTTTCAGTGCACAAGACAGCTATTTGTTAACTAAGGTATAGATTAATAGCATGTAACACATATGTAGCATATTACCCAGTGTCTGGGTAAATTGATGATTTATAGCTCTTGGCAGTTAGATTGTGTAGGTGCTGGCTTAGATGTGAGTTGATTCCTGGTGAAAGATGGGAGCAGAAGCACAGGAAGCATTGTAGTGTTGCAGTGTGGGGAATTGAGACGTGAGAGTGCAGCAGCTAGGAGAGCAGAACTGTAGGAACAGCACACAGAGCTGTGTCCTGGCTTGAGCTGTGTCCCCTCTTCAGCACTTACTATGTTTGGAGCATCAAGTATGGAGCCTGAAAGGAACTTGTTCACCCAGAAGCAGAGAACTGGTGGCTAATTGCCTGAGTTGCTCTTAGAACCCAATGAAATTTGATATAATGCATGTAGACACCTGTAAATGTCCAACCAGAAATTTAGTCCTGCTTGAGGTTTTTCAGGCTGTTGACTTACAAGACCAAGCAGTGTCTCTGTGTTGAGGTCTGTTGCACAGGAATCAGTTTTTGTTTTGCTGGCTGTGTCTGTCCTGGAGAGTGTGGCTAAGGCTTGGAAAATCTCAGGCATCTGTAATGCTAAAATGTTAGGATGGCATTGCCCCAAGCCAGCCAGCACTTCCTCAGTCAATACCTAACCATCCATGGCTCAGCTGTTAGCTCAGGTCGTGGACCATTCCCCGGAGACAGTAAACCTCATGGGTGACCCTCTGCATGGGGGAGAGGAAGGATGAATTTAGGAATTTGCCAGCAGCCAGTCTGCCAGTTGGCCTCAGGACCAGGGAATGGACATTGATACTATGTTTATTTTATTCATACAGATGTATCTTCTCATCTTCATTTTCTAATTAAATGAGTCGATCCTGATTCTTCCACAGCAAAACTTATGTCTTGCTCAGCTGTTGCAAGGCTCTTCACAGATTGAGTCTGTAGTGAGTTCACCATGCCCCTGCTTTGGGAGGATGGGACCATACTTAGACCTAGTCAATGTATCAGCTGTCCAAATAGTTTTTGCAAAGCCTTTTTCTTAATTTTTTATTGTGGTTCCGCCACATGAACCACACACTGGAGGCATCTTTATTCTAGCTCTTGGCTATAGGACCCTCAGGTCAGAGCTCCACCAGCTGGTTAGGAAATGGTAGGTGTGTGTAACTACCATCTGAGCCACAATGGTGTGTTTGAGTGCTCAGAATAACATACTCATGCTTGGCCCCTTGGGACTACTCAGAGCATGCAGACCTTGGTCCTTGCCTCCCAAGTGGATCAGGCATTTCAAGATACCACCTCATCTGTACTGCTCTAGTTCTGTGCTCTCAGGCATTCCATGCAGTGGTGTTGCATTCCTGTCCCATGGTGGCTATGTATGTTATGCACGTGTGTGGGGACTGCAGTGTCAAAACTCTGAGTTTTTCTTTCTCTCTTCTCAGAATCAGCCATGTCAGAGACTTCATAACAAAGTATCAAGGATCTGAGGGAAGTGTTCCCTTCACACTGACCACCTCCCTGCCTTTTCGAGAGCTGCAGGACGAGACACTCACACTTGAGGAAGCAAAGTTGCAAAACGCCGTTGTTGTTCAGAGACTTCGGAAAACAACTGAACCTTTCAGATTCTTGGTGATAAAAGCACCTGACAACGACTACAAAAGTGCTGCTACACCTAATGGACAACTCAAGAATGAGCAAAAAAATGCTATCAATAGTACACGATCAAATTAGCTTTATAACTGACCAAAAATTATCTGCAGGGTGAACTAGGCAAAACCAAAAATGTAACCAGCAATATGTGGATGCCCTCACATCCTCATGCACTGTGCTCTTAGAGAGCAGAATGGGTGCTGTGCTGTCATCTGCTATAATAGAGGTATTTTCAGCTACATTGGGTAGTCAGAGCCTAGCTGTATAATGTAGCAGAGCTAACTGTGCAGCGGATCATCCTTAGAATTTCCTTAGGTTAAAAGCTTCTTAGTATTTAATAAGTGGGTCTAGGTGGAACAGTTCTCTGAGACTTAACTACTGATAGCACCTTTTAAGGAAAAATAGTATTTATTTTTGCACTTTGGACTAAAGTGAAACATTTCACTTATATTGTATTGTAAACTGCTGCAGTTTGCATTCTTCTCACAGTAACTCTTTGACAACCAGTACTGCAAGCAAGCTCACATTTGAATTCTACCTTGAAAATCTTCAGGATGTAACTTTTGTCACAAGATCTGCAGTGTAATAATGTTCTGTCAGGTTTCCACATGGTGGTAGGTGCATGTGTGAGAAGATACAAACGAGATAGTTTGGTGCATACTGCATATGAAGTGCCTCAAAGTAAGCTCTGAAGGAATTGTTCTTACCAATGGTTGAAGTGGTTTCTGCTTCTTTTGGGCTGCTACGGGTGTCTTGCAGATCAGGTGATGTTAAACTACCTAGCTCATCAGCTTAGGGACCCACTTGTAGCTTTGTCACACAGAAACTTCAGCTGTTTTGGCTATCACCAAGTAGGAGTAGTAGTTGAGAGGGACACAGTTGTTTTTGTACTGTTTATCTGCCTCTGTCCTGAACTGCCCAGCTGATGGAGACACTAATTGCATGTGGTCAAGTTTCAAAGCTGTTGAAAATCCTTACTTGAAAACTGACATTTTTCTCTCCACTTTGCCCCATTTCCATCCAAATCTTTTATTTTGCTGTTCATGTACTTGAGGAATAAAGTTTGTAGCCAACTACTCCATGTTTTGCTAAAAGAGAAAACAACAGAAAGACTTAATATTTTGTACTGTGTTTACTAAGCCTGTGGGTTTGTGAAAGGAACTAAAATCTCCAGGTAAGACATATCCCAGGATCTTCAAGTCCTGACTCCTCTGTGCTACCTCTGCCAAAGGATGGTTGTTGGGGTTGTACTTCTTTTGTGTGGTTAAGTGAAAGTTGGGTTTGGGTTTTCCTGGTTTTGTTCTAAATAGAAAAGTACTTAATTGGAGCAACTTTTATTCTAAAAAGTAGTGAGACTTCAGAGTAGGGATGTACTCTCCTTCATTCCCAGGGATATATATAAAACTGGTTTGCTTCAGCATCTCTCATGGTGTGTTTGAAATGAAAGTCAACTGGGCAAATATCTATTTAGTGTCCTCAGAAAACAACTCTCTGGAAACTATGCCTTTAAATACTTTCCAGTGCTATGAACTTCCTGTGCTACTGTGCCATTCGGCTTTATGTAGCAAGTGGTACAATTAAATTTTCTTTGTTCTTGCACTGACTCCTATATGAAAAACAAAAATATATGTGCAGACAAATACATTAGTAAAATTGAAAAAACAAACCGTGTACATACACAGCTCCAATCCTCAGTACCCAGAGCTTCCTGAACAGGGAATTTTAACCAGTGCTTTCAAATTTATCTTAATATAAAACATAGTATTAGAAAAGCACATGTGGTTGATTGTGAGTTCAGTTGTTCTATCTAAAAGGCACATGAAATGTCAAAAGTAACAGTGTACTACTATTCATGCATTTGCAGCACAAAAATTGGAAGAAGTAAATAGTGTAAGTTTGAAATTGAAGGGGGGAGTGTAAAATTCTGAAGTGGGTAAATTTTGCTTGTTATCCATTGGAAGGAGCAGTAAATTTTGTATTTTAACGTTGATTCATGTCTGCTACCAGCATTTTAAGAGATTGGACAGTTAGGTGCTTGACTAAAACCAGCTGTCTGACTGCAGCTTTGGTGTACTTGAGAGTGCATTTGCAGTTTGAAAGTGTTATGATCTTAATTACAAAATGAGAGAAAGTCTTTGGGAAGTCTGAAGTGATGCTGGCTGCATTTATCTCACACTAGATTAGAAACTGTCTTTATTTAAAGGCAGCAAACTGTAATTAAATAATTTATTTCCTAAATTTCTTTGAAATTAATAGAAGACTTTCCTAAATCTAATTGGTTTTGGTGTAGCTACGTGTAGTGTCTGTAGATAGCAATTTTGAATTGGTCAAACAACAGCATAAATGGCTTGATCAGTGCTAGAATTTGTGAAACACAAAATACCATCAGTTATTCATTGTTTCTTCACAAGCTTTTGCTATTTTGAGTAAAGCCTTGCCTGAAGATATTTTACATTAAAACTGAAACAGCCAAGAGAAGAAGAGCAAAAGGAAATGTTTTCTGTAGTTTTCCTTTTATGAAGAAACATGCAAATGCAGGAAGAAAGTGTTTAATGTGTTATGAAGACAGTGTGTAAAGACAAAACAACCTAAATGTTGAATTTGAATGTTAGATGCATACCTTGTATTTAGCTTGGTACTGGCCAGTCTGTCTCAGTTTTGAAGCTCATCTGGCATCAGCCTATACGGACCCCCTTCAGAGAGTTTTCAATAAGGTGTGTTAGGGCCACAATCTCAGTTTTTTGTTAAAGGTCTGGTTTTTAGAAAATCCTTTAATATCCTGTTCAGAATTTGGCGAATATGCTGTAATTATTCTTACCAAACGAGGCTGCACAGGATTTTAGTCAGTACTTCATGGCATGGTTTGCAGTGCCTGCCCAGTACCCACCAGGTGACCCTGTCAGGAGCAGAGCCCTTCGAATCAGTCGCACCAAAAGCCCTGGGTGTAGAGATTGATTAGTCATGATCTCCCCAAGACAAGCAAGTCACAAGTCCTGTTGGCTTCGTTAAACCCTCTTCTCTTAGGCTACCTCACTGTTGAAAGGATTCATACTTCAAAATGCAATTTGTATTTCCTCTGATGCAGGGCATGCGTGCAAGAGCACTTTCCCAGGGGCAGGGTGGTGGTGAACTGGTGTATCCTAGATAAGAGTGTTGGCTCGGGGGCAGCAGAATCACAGAATCAATGAGGTTGCAAAAGATCTCTGAGATCATCGCGTCCGACTTTGGGCTGATCACCACCTTGTCAACCGGACCATGGCACCGAGAGCCGCATCCAGTCTTTTCCTTCAACAGCTCCAGGGCCGGTGCCTCCACCGCCTCCCTGGGCAGCTCCTGGCCATCTCTATCCACCCTAAGGGCAGAATTAGGAGCCTCTGTCCCCGCAGTGTCCCGGCTCCAGGGCGGCTGCTGTGTGATGACAGCGTTCTGTCCGGCGTGGTTCTGTATCCCTGCACGTCGGGAAACCGCGCATCTCTTCAAGGGGCAGAGGAGGCGTTTTGGGGCTGGATGAAAACAGTCCCGGCCCCCTCCACCCCCGTTCCTCGTCCTTGAGCCCCTTGAGCTGTGGAGCTGTGACCGCCGGGAGCTGCCCCACTCCTCTCCCCGCGGAGGGACCGAGGGCGCGGGCTGTGGGGGCTCGGCGGGGCGGGGGATCCCCGTCCCGGGCCGTGAGGGCAGCGCCGACGCCTTCGCCCCTCCTGGGCGCTGGGAGAGGGCGGCGAGGACACCGCCCGCTGTCCCTGGGCTCCGCTCCCCGCCCCGCCCCGGGCGCGCAGGTGTCGCTCGGGGTGGGATGGCCGCGGTGCCATGGCGGGGGCTGCGAGGGACACCCCGGCGGGCGAGCAGGAGGTAGGGGCTGCGAGGGGCAGGGCGGCGGTCGGGGGGTTGGGGAGCCCCTCGGACACAGCCCTGGGCGAGAGCAGGGTCCCGCCACGCCGGCGCTCCGCTTCCATCGCGGGCGGGTCGCGGGCACTCGGCGGGGCCGGGGCAGCCCGGACGCTCTGAGGCCGCCCGGGTCTGTGCGGGGCTTCGTGCGCGGCCCCAGCCAGTGCCTGGAATAGCTCCTGGACCCTTCTCGCCGCCCCTGCGCCCGCCGGGCAGCGCCACGACCCCGGCGCTTTCCCTGGAATGCCCCGCACGGGATTCGCTCGCTGGCTGCTGCGGTGCCAGGGAAAAGCGCCTTCGCTTCTCACCTCTGTCCCCTCCAGGGCTGCCTCCCGGACAGAGGCAGGTGGGATGCGGGAGGCAGGTGGGTTGGCTCCCCCGGAGCCTCAGAAACTCCCAATTTTCAGGGGTGTGCTGGGATGTGAGCGAGGGTATCCCACGCTGCCTGCCCAGACTCGCTGCTCGCCGCGGGAGGAGCGGCAGGCAGGTGAGGGTGAACGAGGACTGCCCCACTCCATGGCTCTTGAGGGAACACCAGGTGAAACTGGGAAGGGGCAGCTTCCAAACGGAGCGGATGAGGAAGCCTTCCACAGCATGTTGGGGGCATTCAGCCCACGGAGCTCTTCAGACACCTGGCATGTCCTGTTCGGGCTTGAGTTTTTGTGTTTGGAAAGCATCTGGGTGAATTCACGGCATAAGTCTGTCTCATGTTGCACAGATGCACCATCTTTGTCTCATGGAGTTCCACAGAGCTGCATTGCCAGCAGCTGAAAGAATATCCTGAGAAAGCACCACTGTATCCCACCTTACTCATACACCCTTTCCTAGGTGTCTGCACACAAGCCCTGCTCCTGTTTTCTTCCACTCAAGGGCGGGCTGATGTCACTAACTAACCTGAAACCAGTCCTCAAGATGCTTGCTGTGAGGGACCTGGGATGCAACCCGTGGCTGCCACACTCGTGCTTTCAAGAGGCAGTTGTTTGGTCACTCACAGAACAGAAACATGACCAGTGTTAATTCCACGTTGAGAGAAAAGCTGACTCAAAAGCTGCTCCTCGCTAGCTACATTTCATTGTTTCTCAGATAAACCTAGACTAGCATTTATCTTTGAGTCACAGGTTTCGCTCTCTGTTCTTACTGCTTTTAAATTACTTGTTGGTTCAGTTCTGGACTCCACTGATAACGAATAGCTCAGGACAAAACTCTGCGGCTGCTCCCTGTCCCTGTAACACAGTTGCTGAGTTGTTTTCAATGAGCTGAAACACTTTCTGTAGAAATAAGATGTTCTGCTATAAATATTGTATTCAATTTCTGTTCTGTTGGGGAAGGGAAAATTTACAAGTATGGTTTTAACTTACAAGAGAATTAAAAATAAAGGAACTACAGTGTAGGAGAAGCATTAATTTTCCATAACAACATTTAAGCTTTCTATTTAAGGAGCAAAATCAAATCTCTCAGCTATTATGCTTTCTTGGTTTGCCTTGAAACGCAATTAAATTTGATATGATGGGAGCGTGTATAAGTGAGAAATTTTCAAGTTAATCTGAGAACAAAAAAATGGTAACTTTCTTTGACCTTCTGTCCTCTTTCCTCTCATGCCATCATCTCACATTTCTCCTAAAGCTTGTAGAAGCAATTTGATGTTGATGTTCAATTAGGCCACAGGGGTCTCAAAAAAAATTTTGATAGTACTTTTATGTTTCATTCCTGATTTGACTTATGCATTTCTGTCTCTAATGATTTGTGGAGTACTTTCAGCTTGCTGACAAACCTGCACAGATGAAGAAGCTTTTACTGGATTTCACAGGAATAAGGCATTTGTGTTTTTTTGAGGAAGCAATGCAGCAGGGACACCCAGCCCTTGGAGGAAAGCCCTGCCAGCTGCTGATAGCCAGAGCTCTGCCCTGCTCAGCGTTAAGCTGCTGCTGTCAGCATCTGTGAGCAGTATCATGCAAACCCAACCAAGGCTGGGGGACTTGCTGCTCTAGATCCTGTAACAGACAGCTGCCATCTGCTGTAGATCCTGTAGCAGACAGCTGCCATATGCATTTTGTGTGCCCTTAATTGTAGGAAGTTAGAGAGAAGGAAATGTGTCAGCTTTACTGGTGCAGGGTCCTACCTTCATTTTACCACTTTCCATTGGGTATGAGGCAGAGAATGTGGTCATCATCATATGAATTCAACATGGAGAGGCAAAAATCTACTGTGGGCTGCTTCTTTTTGAAAGACACTCCAGAATGTAGAGTCTGAGGGATTGCTTCTCAGCAGCTAGAAGCTCAGAGACTCTCAATGAAATTAGCAGGCAGCAGATCTGCAGTGACAGTGGCATTTCCTTTCACAGTACGTGTCATTGCCATGCAGAACTGCTGTGGTGTTTATGTCTTAATGTACAAACAAGTTCCAAAAGCAATTAGGCAAAATAAAAGGAAAACAGGTATGGAACAGTGATCAGGATGTAACTTACCTTCCAGGGGGCTCATGAACTGCAGATTCCCTGTGTTTCTGTGGGTGACCAGACAGGACACCTCTGTATGCCATTTCTATCTGACAGCTTGTTTTATTCTGAAAATAACATTCATAACCAAAATTTAATTAAAACTTAACTACTGCTGTGACCAAAGTATTAACTTTGCTTCAAGGAGATCTGGGAGCACGGTTCAGAGAGTAGTTGAGCAGCATTTTGGGTGTGTGTGGAATTGCAGTGAGACTTCAAAAAATATGTACTAAGATTGTCAATTTTCTAAGCATGAAACTGCTGTAAAGACAGGAGTACTACCTGCAGCCTGTAAGTTTAGATTTTGGTTGACCATTTTGTGTACCACAGCTTTAATTAGATTACTTCATGAGAACTTCACATTCTTCTAAAAACATTTTGATCATGTATGTTCTATAGAGGCATTTGCTTTTTCTCTTTTACCACAGCCTTAGCTATTGAAAGGACAAGGGGCAATGGTTTCAAAGTAAAAGAAGCATGTAAGAATGAAATGTTTCACTATGAAGGTGTTGTGAACCTGGCACAGCTTGACCAGAGAAGCTGTGGCTGCCCCATCCCTAGAAGTGTTCAAAGCCAGGTTGGATGGGGTCAGAGCAAGGAAGGTGTCCCTGCCTATAGCAGAGGGGTTGGATTGGATGATCTTCAGAAGTCCTCTCCAACTCAAACCATTCTGTGAGTCTATGAAAATTACTAGTGAAAGTGAGTGTGAAGGCAGCACCACAGATCTAAAAGGTTTTTCAGTTTTTGAGGTTGCAATAGGACACAGGATTTGCATAGCAGTGGTTTATATCTCTTGATTTCAGGTGAAAGTCATCTTGCCAATGCTTGGAGATCAGGAGGGAAAGTATCGAGGGAAACCAAACTTTTAAAGTAATTTAATGACTAAAAAATAAAACTAAAAAAAGGGAATGCCTAAAAAATAAAAAATGAGACAAAGTTTTAAAGTACACAGCCCCTGGAGCAAAGCTCAAGGGCATGGGAATGAGTCAAGCAAGTTGTGTGGGCCCACAAGTCTAGTAAAGCTCATATTTATTAGTATTTATGTATGGAAAATGAAGAGTTACTTTGGACAGCAAATACAGCAAAATAGTCTGTTTGTTTTGTTTGCAATCTCTTATCAAATTAAATTGTATAATTGTTACTATGAAGTTTGTTTTGTGACTGTTTATCACATTTTTTTTTTCCCTGCAAAGAAGAAAATTGCCAATGCAGTGTAAAGTGAGGCCTGCTGTGGTGATAACATTTTGCAGTTCATGCCCTGACAGTGTCCACTTTCCTTGGGTGTAGTAATGGGATCCCACCCCGTCTTTTTCTGGGAAAACACAGAAAGGAAGGAGTGCTGATACTTGTGCTTGTTTGTTCACACCCACTCTGATAAAACAGTTCAAAGGGAAATGTTTAGATGATGAAAGGCATTGCCTAGAAATATAAAACTTCTCAAAAATGTTACAGAGTAAAGATGATAGGTTATTAAACTTAAAAATGTTCAGAAATTAGGTAATGTGTCAGAATATCATTGTGGTGGATTTCATTTCCATATCTCTATCTTTATACCAATCTAACATAAGAATTAAGGGCTTGTGTAGTCAGTTCAGAGAGAAGACAGACCCAGGAATAATATTGCGGCTCCTCTTCATGTTTCTTGGCTCCTGTTGGCAGAAAATTTTAAAGAGAGACTGAAAGCCTCAAAGTTAAAAATTTGATTTGATGTGTTGTCCCTCTGAATGGAATACAGATTAACAAAGAGTCATTTTCTTTCTTCATTTTGAATTTTATGGCATAAAATTAAATCTTACATTTTTAAAGGGCTTTCCAGTATCCTGGACTTCTACTGTTGGGGAAAAAACCCTATGTTCTTCATAAGAATCTCTATTAGAAACTGTACAATTTTTGTATTTTAATTACTGGTGTGTACCCTTATTTTTAACATTTATCTTATTTACCTATTGTATTTGAGAATATTCTTGCATGTTTATGGTACTTTTCAAACATCAAATGACAAATGAGAGAGCACAGTTTTGCAGAATGTTTTAAATACACTTGGAGCGATTTTCTAAAAAAATCTTGGGCCCAAAATTACTTACCATATGATGCCAATTTTCACAAAGATATAGAAAAGTCAGGTCAAAAGGAAGATATGCAAAGTCAAGTGATTTTGCCAGTGTCACACCAGCATTTTGTGACAAAGGAAGAAACAAAGCACAAATGTTTGGGATCTGTTAGGTCTGTGGAACTTTCTGTGAATGATGTTTAATTACTGTGGTATGAGTGTATTTATCAATTATTATCTGAAAGGTTAATAAAAGAAATATTTTTTTAAGGTACAAGTTTTCAACCTTTAAAATATGAATTAAGCATTCAAAGACAAAACTAAGCCCAAATAATAGTAAATAATAGTATAGCACTTCTCTGCTGCTTCTTGCTTGTTTCCTTTTAATAGCTTGTGAGAGGAAGGTAGGTAAACCTGAGGGTCATCACAACTCACTTTTAGGAACATTGTAATCTGTTTTCAGGGGCTGAATTAGAGAACAAACCCATTAAAAATCAAAGTAACGAGCACCCAAATGCTTGTTGTTGATAGGGGTTGAGGGCATACAGATTTATTAGTGGAAGAGCTGTGAAGCAAATACATTAAAGTGGTGTTAGCTATAGACTTTAACCTTACCACTTGTGTAGCTTTTGACTTGTGCACCTTGGTTTACTCATGGTTTGTTCTGCTTCCTCTCACACAGGGCCACAGGCTCTCGATGTGCAGCAAGATCTGCTACGCCATAGGAGGGGCCCCAAACCAAGTGGCAGGGAGTGCTGCTTCCTTCTTCCTGCAGATCTACCTGCTAGACATAGCCCATGTAAGTAGCACAAGAAACATTTTCAGACTGTAGACTTCACTCTGATATTGTCAGCCATGTCCCTGCAATGATAAAAGAGGAATTAGTTAATAAATATTTTAAATTGTCTCATTGTCATTGCCTCTAGCTGTCCAGCATCCTGGAAACTGCATAAACTTGTCCAGAATTAATTTTTTTCCCTCTAGTTTTCTTTCTGTCTTGAGATGTCTGTTGTTCATTTTTAGTTTGGGATCATTATTAGAACTTTGGGTGCTGTAGGGCTCACACACTTGCAGACACAAGGAAAATCAGTTCTCAAAATTCAGTGTCAGGAGTCAAAGAGTGTAAGATAGGAGACATATGAAAACACTAACAGCGCGATGCTGAAGTTTTGTTCAATTGGTTTAGGTTAAAAATCACTCCAGTTGCAACCAGTAGCCACCACAGTCTTAAGCTGTGCCACAGGAAATATAGGTTGGGTATTAGGAAAAAGGTTTTTATGGAAAGAGTGATAAAGTTCTTGAATGGTCTGCCTGGCGAGGTGTCGGAGGTCTTTAAACCATCCCTGGATGTGTTAAAAAAAAGACTGGATGTGGCACTTGGGGCTATGGTTTAGTTGAGGTGTTAGGGCTGGGCTGGACTCTATGATCTTAAAGGTCTCTTCCAACCCAGTGATTCTGTGATCATTTCACGCAATTTTTATTTTGTTTGTCTAAGGTAATTTTGTGGCAAATAAAGCTGAGTTATCCTTCCTGAAGGTTCTTTGCTTCCAGTTGCTCTCTGGTGTAGAAGCAGACCTGGTGAAACAAAGCATTAGGAGTCATCCCATTCATCTGACTTTCAGCTGCTCCAGCTAGATTTCAGAACTCAGCAGAGACACAAAGAAAATCAATCCATAAGCAATTTTTACTGTTCTGTATTTTCTTGTATGCATGCATGGTAACTAGGACAAGGTACTAGGATAGAAAAAAGGATTTTAGGGAGCTGAGGTCAAATTGCAAGGACTGTGTGAACAGCTGTGAAACTACACGTGGGACTTCAGCACTGATGACTGTTCCTATTGGCTGGAAAAACCAGGATGTTCTGGGTCAGATATCATTACCCATTTGCTGTCTAAAGACATGACATTGTTATTGGAGGTGTCCAGAAGTTTGATTTTATGGTTTTCCTGTAAAAGTCTGGTATTAAAAGCTGACTTGCAACTTGATAAAATTTTCAACACAGTAAGGTGTGCTGTACAGCTGAGATCATCTTGAGTGCATTGTTTTGATCAAAGATGTAGATGTAGAAGATGTAGATGTAGAAAAGGAGCCAGTTTTGGACAGCAGTGCCCAAGATGTCGAGTGGATGGTGTGGAATCTGAGGAGCTGGAGGTGGAAAAGGAGCTTGGGGGTACAGCAGGGAGTTGGAACAGCTCTAACTAAAGCTGTTGCACACTGACATGAAGGATGGCAGTGCAAACCATTGGAGATGATGAAGCAGGAACTAAATTAGAAAGCTTCTAACACCATTTCCCCAGGGTGCTTAGAAGTATGGCAATTTCCCCATTCTTTGCTTGTCACAGAGACTGAAAATTCTGGAAGCAAGGGACTGATCCTTCCTGTGTTTGTGTGCAGTGTCCAGAAAGCTGGGATCCCATCCATGCATCTTTGGGCACTAGCTAAAAAAGTTACAACAAAATAATTATTTTATTAACAAGCTTCTACTGAAACCAAATAATTTTGCTTAATGTTGGTGGTGATATACTTACACTTTCATTAAGGGGCTTAATTATTTGTTCCCTGGTGGTTTAATTTGTTCTTTGAAGTAGTCCTGCAGGGACAGGATTTATTTCAAGGCCTGAAAAATAGGTCTGAAATCCTGTGCTCTTTCCCATATATTTTCAGGAGAAAGAATGTAATTTTATAGTCACTGCCTGGATTTATTTCTTGCCCACTTAGAGAGCAGAATTGTTTTAGCTACTTGAGAGAATGTAAAAGCCACCAAGTGTAATCTTTCATGCATAATCTGGCTCTTTTCTAAGAAATTTGTATTTCCTATTAATTTTCTGTAACTTCCAGTTTTTCAATTTGAGTTCCTTGTTCCACCTAAGTTACCTGTGTAGACTATAGACATAAATGGAACTCCAAACCACATGGGATCCTTGAGACAAATTTGTAGAGGACACAAAATTTCTCTGATTAAAGGACCATGGTCTTTATTCCTTTTGAGATGGGTGAATTTAGCATATTTTATCTTGTATTTTATTAACACTGAGAAGTTTCTGGCATTGATGCTGACAGACACTGTCTAGATTTAGGAGATAAGAAAATGCACCCAAGGGATGTATAAGCCCATATCAATGACGAAGTCAGGGTGACCATACAGATTCCACTCCTAACATGAAAGAGGTTTTGCTTTTTCCTCAAAGCTTTCTTTCACAAAATGTCCGAACAAAATACAAATCTGGAACTCACCTAATTTGTAGTTTTTTGTTCTTGTCCCCCTCATAACTGCAGTATTTTAACCCCTGTATCTTTCTGACTGCTATTTTGTGCTTATTTTGGCTGCCCTGTCTCTTGAGGAGCAGCAGTGGCCTGTGGACAGTCCTGGTGCAGCCCCCACAGTGAGTTTGTCTCAGGGCTGGTGGGCTGCTTCCCACCCTTGGTGGCTGTGGGAGGGCACAGGCCAGCTAAGGTGGATCAACAAGAAGGTGGGACACAGTCCTGTGCTCATCCCAGCTCCATCCCACCACGCAGCAGTGGAATGGAGAGCCACTGTTGTTATCTGCTGGACACTGCCATTCCCAATCCTTCCCTGTTCACAGACTCTCTGGGGTGGAGTGTGTGTCTTGGAGCTGGTGGTGACAGGAACATTGGCTGCCACTGCAATTTCACCTAATTTGGGTTAAAATGTAATGGGTGTGATGTTGGAAGTCTGTAGCACCTGCCTTTTGTGCTGGTCATTCAGGACATTCAGAGATCACTGCTTCCTTCTTTCACCTCTGAGAGAACACCTACAGCAAATTCTGCAGGCCGGGCACCTGCACCAGCTGCATTCCTGGTGCTGCTGCCTGGGAGACAACATCCTTTGCAGGAAAGCAGGGCATACCTGCTCAAGCTTGGTGTTGCATCAGCTGTGTTTTCCAGGCCTTTGGAGCACTGATATGTTGAAGCACAGAGATGAAGGGACCTTGTCTACTCTTGCTGTTTAAGCCACAGAGACTCTTTCAGCAGCTTCTCTCAATAATTGATGTGAGGAACATTCACATTTATATAGGTTTCAATGACTTTTTTTTTTAGGACTATAATTGCAGTGACGTGAACTGAACACGGGGAAGAGAACCCATCTTTTTTAACCATTGTGTGATGGGAATTCCTAAGCTGTGTACAGATAAAAAATAACTGCCTTGCCTAGGATAAACTGCATTTCTATATAGGCACTAACGTATGGTCCACTTGGGTTAATTTCAGAGGTTTTCCTACTTGGCCATTTTGTTCTTTTGTAATCCATTAACATTTTTTAAGTAATATGTGACGGACACGTGCTGGCAACTTTGATTTGAGCAGATGTGCCTTACGCAATTCACTTGTCACTGCTCAGTCCCAGGTGGATAAAGTCTGTTGTGCAACAACCTCTTCCTCAGCCCCATGCCACCAGTTGGCAGCCTTGTGATCTCAGGAGAGGAAAAAACATTGCTGCATGTAAACAACCCCCTCTACCATTTTTTTAGATCAGGTCAAGATAACGATATGGGGAGATGGAGATGTGTGGGGGGAAAGCAAGAGGGTAATTACAGAAGGACTCTGTCAGATTGTATGACTAAAACAAAGACTTTGCTATTTGACTGCTTCATTTTCCTCATCCCAAACACATTCTGGATGCTTCCTTCCTTGCATTTTTCCCTTCTGATCCTTTAATTCACAACACCAATCTCAATGTCTCATTTGTTTGCTATGGGTAACCAATAGGAATTTCTATGATAGCAGCAGACGTGTTTTGTAAATGATCATTATTCTTTAAAACACTGAGGTGTTTTTTTCTGGAAAGTTGCTTTATGCTGTTTCATTGTATTGTGAAACAATGGCTCTTGTTTACTGTATTCTGTCTACTTTCAGATTACTCCATTTCATGCCTCTTTGGTGCTGTTCATTGGCAAAGCCTCAGGTGCAGTTACCGATCCTGTTGCTGGCTTTTTTATTAGCAAAAGTAGATGGACAAAAATTGGCCGGCTCATGCCTTGGTAAGTATAAATGTGTACATATATTTACATATATATGTGAATATTGAGTGTTGTGATCATATAGCCACCCCACTGAATTAGTCTCAGGAATTGTTTTCATTCCACATATATAAAATAAAATTTAAAAATTGCCATGTCATCTTTAGCTTGTTCACACATGAAAACACAGAAGAGATTTTTTATCACTGGAGATGCAAACAATTAAGCCAAGAGACTATTTTTAGCAAAACTGGAAGCTGAGGTCTAAAACTTTCTTAAATCTGTGGTTGAATTTTCATCTTTGTCTAGATTTGTTTTGTTTGACTTCACTCTTTCAGAAAGTTGGAACTTATTTCTACTTATGTCCTAGAGCGCCTTCACATCTCACAATCAGCCTTCCAGGAGCTCCTGCCCAGGCCTTTCAGTTCAGGGAAGGATGCATGCACAGCTGTAGAACAGATGTGTGCATGGGTGTGGAATAGATGTGACACCATGGCACCAAAGGGCCCAGCAGCCAGCACTGCCATGGCACTGTGGGAGTGGCACTCATCAGAGTCCTGCTTCTCTTACATCTCATAGTCAGAAAAGTTCATTAAAAAACCACCATGACTCTTACAATGAGTCATGTAAGACTCTCATGAGTCACAAGATGCTGCAAGGTTTTGGATTTTTGTGAAGGAAGTGTGTGATGTTTCGCTGTGATATCTTACCTGCGTGCATGTGCTGTCCATGTGCTCCAAGGAGAGGTTGGAGCAATGAATGTTGGCCATATAGGAATGAGATTGACAAGTGTGAAGCAAGTAAAATTGGAAAAGATTGAGCCGTGCTAGAGGAACTCACCTGTGCCACAGGGCATGTGTTTGTTGGTTTTTAGTATTTTGGAAGCCAAGGGGAGATTGATGACCTTGTGAAATAGGGAGTCTTTAATCATTTTATCTCATACATTATATGGATATATTTTAAATTAATTTCAAAATTTTAATTGATATAACCCACAAACTTGATTTACAACAAAAATCTAAGACTAAATGTGTCCTGAGCAAGGAAGTTGAAATTTCAGGGAAAATGAACACAGTTTTTAGCTGGTTCTTTTGCTGTTATGCAGTTTTATGGCTACAGAAACTTGTCCATGAGCAGCTTATATCTGACAAAATAGAGAAGGCAAGTACTCGTTGGAAAAATGCTGAGATCAGCTGCTCTTGGCCCAGTAAACAGGGTCTTCAGGTTGAAGTTAAGCTTTTTGTCAAGACTCATGGGAAAAGAGGAGTTTACTGCTGTTTCTCTTTTCAAGATTTGGTTGGAGGCCAGGTAAGTGGTGTGGTTTTTAATGACCACTGAATTAACCAAGTAAAAAATCTACCCAAAAGGAAAACAATGGAATTTTTATACAAACGCCACTAGAATTCTGATGCTTTTATCCCTTTTTCCCTTTTTTTAAAGTTCTCTGAAAATACAGCGAGTGCATGTGTTTATTGTTAGTGTTACATTGATGTTAGAATGATTCCTGTCCTAGTACCAGCATGGACTTATCAGCCCTTTTCATTGTAAATCAGCTCCAGCACATCTTGCACTTCTTACAGGAAAAGTGTTTATCTAACCCCACCTTTCATCAAACAGCTGCTTTCTTTACAGGAGGATTTTGTCTGGATTTTTTTGGTAACACTAATATTTTCATGGAAATTCTGTTCCTAGACTTTGAGAGTCAGGCCATTTTTTTTTGTACAAAACAAAAAATGTGTCTTCCCTTAGCTTAAAAATACTTCAGTATTTTGATTTTTTTCTGACTTCTTAACAATCTAGAATGAAGCAATGGATTTTTTTCAGTCAGAAAAGCTTGCCAGCAAAGCAAGAACCTTAGTAAGGGAGGTGAATGTTTAACTATTGCTTAATACTGTCCTCAATATAACACAAAGTCATCCATCACTTATTTAATGGCTTTAAAAGGCAGAAGCAGACATTGACTTGAAATACTGGTCTAACATTTTGTCAAAAGAGATAATAGCTGACAATCAGATATTCAGCAACTCCAGCAAGGCTTTGAAAACTCCCTGGCATTAGAGAAGAAAGGAGAATGTGGGAAAGGGGAGAACAATACCAAGAGGGTTGTTGCCAAAAAGTTGCATGAAAAAGTGACTGTGAAGATATTTAGTGTGATGACTGCCTGGACACCATCTGGAAGAGCTCATGCTTTTGGAGAGGAAGTAGATTCCCTGAGATGTGTTAGGAGTTTACCCTTGTTTATGTTTTCCATTGCTGTGGGTGAACTGTGGGCTGGGGACTAGAGGGGCAGAGAATACCAGAACCTGGCACTTTCCTGGTAAATGTTCAGCTCCCAGTGATGCTGTCCATCCCAAAGAGCAGTGTGGGAAAGCCATTGTTTTACTAAACTATTTACCCACATTACTCTTTTGTATTCCAGGTTTTCAGTTCACGACTGCAAAATAATCAGCTGACCCCCAATGTCAGTAGTGCTGTTGTGAAGGGATTAATCTGTTTTCTCTTTTATGTGTTTGGAAATTTTTTGTCAGGATCTTGGTCATCTAAATACATTGTTCAGTGCCTGATTTACAAGAACACAGGACAGGCCTAATGCTGCAGCTCAGACCTTTAGGAAATAACAGCATCTGACCAGTTCTGTATCATGGAGTTTGACAAATGCTATTTGCCTGAAATAGGTTTTAGACTAATTGCTTGTTAATGGCAATGTCTGGAGTATAAGTTTCTGTGGTTCTTTTTTTTAAGCCACCTTCCTCTCTGAAGATGATCCTTTTGTGTTTGAAGTGATTAGGAGTTAAATGGAGGAAATTATAATCTACCCAACTAGACACAGTGTAGGAGCTTTCACAACGGGTTGTCCATTGTCTCTTTTGCTTTTTTGAATGTTTTTAAGTGTATCAACATATTTACACTTGCTTGAAGTAGCAGTGAAGAGACTAAGTTCAGGGAGAAACCAAAGACACTAAAATTAGAAGGGGAAATCTCATTAATAAGTAAACTCATGTAAAAATTTCTGTAGTATGCAAAGACATGATGAGAGATCTTAGTTTTTAGTGATTCTTTCTAATAAATGTGTAATCTGAGAGATGTGCCAAGGAATGGTAATATAGGTGTGCTGTTACAGTGCATGTGAAAGGAAATTATGTCTCTTCTGAGTTGGATATTAATTAAAGTGTAGCTCTTTTCTTTCAGACTCACTGGGGTTTTTTCCTCTTTATGAAAGTATTAATCTGTGTATTTATATATTTTATATTAATATTAATATTTTATATTAATCTGTGTATTTAATGCACACTAAATTTTGATATTTAAAAGCATACATTACTGCAGTTAGAAAAACTGCGCATAAATTGTGTTATATTGATTATTAGCAGGAAAATTTAATGTGCTTTGCTATCATTATTTTAAGATTGTTGATGTGTGTTAATTTTCTTCTCAGGGTGCTGGCATGTACACCCTTCACAATAATCTCCTATTTTTTAATGTGGTACCTGCCTCCGTTTGTCTCAGGAAGAGTTGCTTGGTACCTGACTTTCCACTGCCTTTTCCAAGCACTGACCACAGTAAGTAGATTACAGGTCATGATGTTCTCAGCAGGGACTTGCTTGTTGCCTGTCTATATTAGAGCATTCATATTTGGTAAACTTGTTTTCACATTTTACTTCAAGTTCTAGTGAGTTTAAGGGACAGGCAGATGCCCTTTTATCAAACTCTGCTGGTTGATGGTTTCTGCCAATGCTTTTTCTGGTAAATGAACTGCTAATTCATCCAGGTTACCTCCAGTGCCCTCAACTCATTCTTGTATAGACGTTCAGATTCCTAATTCCAGTTGGACATCCAACTTCTCATAACTTCTCAGGAGCAGATTAGGAATTCTGTATTCCTATGTTAAGCTTGAATATTTCCCTAAGTCCTTTATTTTCCCAGTAGAAAGATGGTCCAGAAGGCATCCATAATTGTTTTATATAATTTCTTTCCTCTTTCTTTTGAAAGAAAAACACAGGGTTTTCCTGGCCGTTTTGAAAATGTATACACGTACCATTTTTGATGGAGGTGAACAGAAAATCATTTTGTACAAACATTGTGGGATGCAGAGTGCAAGACTTAATTTGGCTACAGATTTCTGGAGTGGTGGGAACACCACAGAGAACTTGGTTATTCAAGCAGGTTCACGTCCCAGTTCCTCTTTGCAATGGTCTTAACTTATGCTTAAATTAAGGAGTGTATGGTACAGTGGTGCTGAAAGAGTAGTTTTCACTATTATCTCCTGGATTTACATAATTTGACAGATGTTTGAAATATTTTGGGTATTTGTATAGTCTTCTGGGTTGAATAAAGTGGAAAAATGTATTTCTTCTTTATGTCTTGACTTCCTGTTAGTTAGCTCAAGCTAGGAGCACAATAGTGTCCTAGTGCAAAGAAAGCAAAGTTCTTTTGAGTCTCTCGGTGAAGGATGTTTTCCCAAGGAAACTGAAGGAGCACAACATCAAGGTAAACTCTCTGGGTATTTTATTATTTATTATTTGTATTCTGAGCTTTTATATGCTTTTCAAACCAGAAAGAAAAGGCAAGTCTTTGTGCTAAAAAATTGGTTGAGGGTTCTTCATGTTCTGAATGAATGTTCTAAATTATTTCCAAGGTCCCATTAAACCATTTTCTTGGATATCAAAGGAATACTGCAGTTTTACTCTGACATTTCCTATGTTCTTTCTTTCCATAGTTATTCCAAGTACCATACTCTGCCCTCACCATGTTTCTCAGCACGGACCAGAAGGATAGAGATTCTGCAACAGCATATAGTGAGTGTGATCTCGGCTCTCTCTTGGGGATTGGGCTGAGTTTTATTGAAAATACTTCTTAATCTATAGGAAGTTCTAGTGATTTGTGTCCCTAAACTGGACTTCTATAAGAACGTTTTAATATGTGATGAAAACTAATTTGTCTTCAAAGGAATTGCATTTTTCTAGTTAAATAGGAGATGTTAATATTTAATTGTTTCAAATTGTCTGATCAGCTATAAACTCTTTTTGGTTTATTGCTAGCCAGAGGAAACAATAAAAAAATCACTCCTAACCAAGTCAGGGTAAGGAATAATGATTTCATTTCAAGGTGATTTGTAGGGGAAAAACCAAGAAACATTCAATTAAAGAAAGTACGAAAGTAATTTGAGGAGTTTGTTATTTAGGTTTTGTTTGGGGTTTGTTGTTTTGTTCTGTCACCTTCTTTTTTTTAGTTCATATTTCCTTAGATTTATGTGTTTTATGTTATAAATTCAGATGCCAAACCTGTTTTCTCAGAAAAAAATTTGAGAACTCATAGAACCAAGACACCTAACCTCACAAAAAAGGAAAGTAATTTTGTGTGCATGTTCACATCAACTGAAATATCTTTTTTCATTTCATCTGTGTTTTTTAAATTAATTCTGGCATACACCAGGTAGTTTAAAGGCAGATCTTGTTGTAATACAGCTAGCACTCTGAGTGTATTAGTTAAAAGAATGAGGCTTTCCAGACCATATCTCTGGCTCTTCAACAACCAAAACCAGACAAACTTTTAGCTTTGAAGCAAATCAATCAGACAAAAAAAAAGTGCAGTGAAAATATTTTCAAGATATCCTATATAGATCACAAATTGAATGCAAGAACAGTTTCCTCCCCTCCTACTCTCTTCAGCTCTATTCTTGTGCCTTCTTTACTGTGTAACTGCATTAAGCAAGATAAAGAGAAAAAAGTCAAATATTACATGTAAGATTTCTCTATGTCTTAACTTGTCCTTAAAGTGTTGCTTTAGAATATCTTTTAGTTTTTTTTGTTGCATTTGTTTTCTCTTCCTGTCAAGATTCCTTTTCTCTTCCATTAGTCCTTCTAACCCTCGACATCTTTGATTATGTTGAAACCCACAGAGGCACAGTGAAATAGTGAGAAGAACTGAAAATGTAATGTCAAAAATTCTAGATATGGTATCCCCTGAGCAACCCAATCCCTCTTCAGAGATATGGAACTGTTGTAATTTGCATTACCATCAACTATATCTTTAAGAAAAAGTCTGGACTGGCAGTCACAGGACAGGACTAAACAGCAGGAGATTCCAGTTGTGTTATATTCTTTGGCACTAACTGTATTCTGAGTCATCTGGCCTAAATTCTAACTAAATCTACGTACCTAGTGTTTTCTATTGTCTGGTTTTATGTCTTCAGAGGCTCTGATCCAAATAAATGTGCTTTCTGATCTGCTAGTCCCATGCAGGGCTTCACAGGCATGTGAAACTTGTACTCATAAAAGCTGTCGAACTCTGTGGCTGAGAGGTGTCACACATTTATGGTGTCATTTATTGTTCAGAAAGGGTTTAACATTTGAGTGTACAGCTGTTCTCCTAAACCAAATTAAAGTGGTGGAATGAACCATAGTTTTGACTTTTCAAATGTTGGTATTTTTGTGCATGTTGATATAATATTTGTTTGGAGCAAAGGGTTCTTGTAATGGTTATGATTATGTGAGAACCTTTTTCTTTACCTTTTCCTTTTTTGGTAAGTGTTTTACTTAAACACCTCTGCCTCTCTTTGGGCTTCATAGAGAATTCTTCCTGTTGACAGACTGTCTTGGATACAGTCAGTTGTTCAGGCATTGCTTCAACTGTAAAAGAAAAACAGCTGTGTCACATGAAGTGTGTGCTTAAAAATAAGGTTGGGATCAGAGGATCCATTACCCTCTGCTGGAGACAAGCAGAACTGCTTATTATAAATTTTATTCTGCTGCTGCTATTGATGCAAGGTAGAAATACTGTATTCCAAAGTTGCTTTAACATAACTCCTACTTATATTCTGGTCAAAATATAACCTACTTCAGGATACAATCTGCTGGCAGATCAGCTTTCTTGGCTGATGTGGAAAGTAATACATCATAAATTCTGGGCACATAAGAACTTTGAAGGATACCTGTTCCTCAGCTCTTGCTACTACTTAGAAAATAGTTTCACAGTGGTTGTATTTCTGGTGCCTGTAATGATGCTTCTGGGTTTTATTCCATACAAGTTCTTGATAAAATGCAGATGTAGAGCCCTAGACAAAGGTTATGAATGTGTAGGTGGTGTTTGAATGAAAGGTGTGATTTGAGTGCATTGCCTTTGTACTGAGTTTGGAAGCTCTGCAACACCCAACTGAGACCAGTTTGTGTCCAAACACTTCAGACCAGGCTGGAGTTCGATTTCCACCATCTGCCAGGATTTTTGTGTGCATGGACTGAATTGCAACATTGCTGGTAAGATTGGATGTGAAGCTTGGGGAAGGGGCTTTTTTTACTTCCCATTGGTTTAAATTAATGTTGCATGGCGCCTCCGATTTTCCACTCAAAAGCATTTTCAGTTTGGGAACAAAGTAGCAATGGTTTAAAAGGTCCAGGTCTCCTAGGGAGCCTCTCTTCCCTTTTCCTTACTGGATCTTGCATAGCTACAGACAGCCTGCATTGCTGCAGTGTCTGAACCCCTCACAATCTGTGTGCATTGCTCCTCCCTTTAGATGGTGAAGTATTTTTATTCCTTTACAGGGACACACAAAAAGTCACGTGTCTGAGGTCACTGAAGGCTGTTATAGATCAGGGGACTTGAATAAACATGAACCTAGGAGCTTTTGAAACAGCTGTCACATCCCAGAGGGAGCATGATAACCACCAGGACACAACCTGCTCTGGAAGCATCCCTTCAGAATCCTCCATGGTGCTTCTCAGAAAAGAACATATGACCCTGGGAGTCACTGAAAGAGGAAAAATAGAAAAAAACCCTGAAGTTTGGGTCAATGAGAAGTGCATTCCCTCACAAATGGGAAGACTTTTCCCCCATCTTTAATCAGTTCATGCATTCAGCCCTAATGTATCTTTATGCAAAATGTGTAAACAGTCTCTGGAGCTAGGACAGGAATTCAGTTTATCTCCTGGCCATGGGGATGCTGGATATGGCCATATTGCAGGGAAACAGGCACAGCAGGCTTGAAATCCCTCAGGCTGAGGAGGGTCTAGAAACTAAATTTCCTACAATTTGCCTTAACACAGCTGCAACACCTGGTCAGGTTGTTGATCGATTTCACAAGATGATAACCATGGTTAGATTTTTGCTTTCCTAAGTGAAGGCTTTGGTTGGTTTGATTTAGATGATCCCTTTTTCTGGTGAGAATTAGTGATCTGAATTGTTCTCTGAGGTTGAGGTAGATAGTTCTGCCTGACTCTGGCCCTAGGCAATTAAGAACAGCACCCGCTGTTTCCAAGAGCTTTGTAGCTGTACTATTTCCATAAACCTGAGGCAAGTATCACTTTATTTTACAGTTGGAGGACTCCAAGGTCTGATTAGATAAGTGTTTCACAAGTTGCTGCCAAGTTTGAGATGAACAGTCTGATATCATGACTCCAAGTCCTACTTTGGAAAAAATGGCATTTAAAAAGTAGTTCCACTCTGGTCCTCAAGATGAAAGATCTCCACATTATCCCCTTGTGGCTCCTAATCTCAGCATTCACATTTCTCATGCAGCTTGTATAGAAAAAGCTCTTTCATGGATGTTTCTTCTCAAACCTGATGAGAAAATAAATTACAAAACTCTCTGCCTTTGAAATGTTCTATTACTGACCTTTCAGTTCTTCTGTTCTTGGCATTGCTCATTCCTGTGAGAGGAAATGATTTGATAACACTTCCCTTCAGTAAGACAGATGATCAAGATTCCCAACCTCAGTGCACATTTGTGCTTCCATTCTCTAGGAATGACCATGGAAGTGCTTGGGACCTTGATTGGAGCTTCACTTCAGGGGCAGATTGTGGCCAGTGCTCATGTCTCTCCCCACTGCACTGTGAATCCCTCAGTAAACACCACTGACTCCTGGCATGACACTCCCAGCATTCCAGACCCCTCAGATCCTCTGTCTCATCAAGTAAGTGTCTGTGCACACACTAAAATATCCTATGGAGAAGGGTGAGGATGCTTCTCTAATACCAGATCATATCCAGCAGGATGAGTGTGAACATGACTCCCTTAAATCAATGATGCTGGAGCTCAGGCAATGACCTTGTTGCAGACAATGCTTTCCATCTTTGCTGTCCTTGGAACCCCTCCTCAGTGTGACACCAGAATTTCTTTGAGGAGCCTTGCAGGAGGTGCCAAACCCATAAAGCAGCTGGGAGGGACATGGCCACCCTTCCTTTTCACTAGGGGCTGATTTACAGTTTATAGAAGCTTAGTAAGAACAGCACATTTTACCCTGCCAGAAACACTCCATCCAGTTCTGGGGACCCCAGCACAAGAAAGACTTGCATCTATTAGAGCAGAGCCAGAGGAGGGTCACAAAAATGGTCAGAAGGTTGAAGGACTTCTCCAGTGAATACAGGCTGAGAGAGTTGGATTTGTTCAGCCCAGAGGAGAAAATTCCAGTGAGAACTTATTGCAGCCTTTCAGTACAAAAAGGGAATTTTTAAGAAAGATGGAAGAAACTTAAGTCCCACCCAACCCAAAGCATTCTGATTCCATGAAAAAAGGGTGGCTACAGCAGGATCTTTCAGTTCAGCAACACTGATTTCTAGAGGAGTTACCACTGGAGATCTCCTGAACAGATTAATGGCAATTTTGTGAAGAAAACCAAGTCCTATTTGCAATCTGTACTTTCGTGAAGGTACAAAGCACTGTTGAAAGTAAATGATTGGTAACACCCCATTAGTGGGGGCAGATCTCAGTGGTTAACATGTGGAATGAACCTAGGGATCCATGCTTATTTATTTAATTTTCCATGACAGGTTTTTCCTGTAATTTTGCACAAATAATTTATTCTCCTCATACTTGAGTTTTATATTTTTTGAGAAACAAAGAAGGCTTTGTAGCTGGGAGGAAAACCTAAAACCTGATCCAAACCTCAGTTAACACAATTTGATAGTCTTCCATTGTTTGCAGTGGTCTTGAAACAGGCCCTGAATTAAAGAATTACATGATGCAGTGGGTTTTTTTTTCCTATGTCACTTGTGAAATCAGCAGATTGTTGGTTCCAATTTACCAATTGCTGGATTCATCCTTTCTTTTTATACTTTCATCTGTTGCTATATCAGTGCATTTACCAACCAGTATATAAAACACCCTGTGAAGAAGGTTCCTTGACCTGAATCTAATCTCAAATGCTTGATGCAAATGAGGAAGTGCATATCTGGCTCTTCCTAATGCAGTGGAGTAGCTCCTATTATCATGCTTCAGCAGCAGTAAAAGCACAGGCTAAGGTATGTTTTTATCTATGTTTTGGATTTGCATAGTCTGGCATCAGCACTGGTGGTCCAGGAAGGGGTCAAAGTCTTGCCTCCCCCCATTCCCAGACCCCCTTCTTTGCCTCTGTGCCACCTGATCCTTCTGTTTTTGGCACAGGCCTCTCATAGAGCTGATCTGGCAACAGTCTGAGGACAGCTGGGCTGCTTCTCTAGGTAGCCATGCCATTCTTTGGTTAAATAATGTGTCTTTGGAGATGCTTGTTTAGTAACTTGTAGAGTGTGTTTTAATGAGACACAGAAATTCATCCTGCCTTCCTTTTTAGCTTCTGGGACAACGGTTTGATGTAGAGCACTACTGTGTTTATTACACCTCTGTGAATTGTCAAGACAAGTAGTTTGAAAAGTCATGGAGCAAGCTGAATTTCACTGCACAGCAGACTCCCTGTCTCAATCTTCTTCGGACTAAAATCCTCAATTTCTATTTTGAAACCTCTGAAATAGCTTTCAAGGGGAAAAAATACACAATCTTGATTTATTTCCTTTCTGCTTAACCATATGTGCTTTCCTGTCCTTTTTGAGGTAGGAGGGAGATGGAGAAAGAAACTTCACAATGGCTTGAATGTCAAGTTTTCTAATTTGAAAAACTTGCAAAAATCCATAGCCTAAAGTAGCCAGAGTTTATAGGTAGAGGCAAGATCTTTCATTAAACTAGATACTAAAACCTGGAAATTATGGGAAAGTTTTTAGACACAAACATTTTTCAGATCCTGAAGCTGCAGTGTAACTGGAAACCTGCCCTTTGTTCACACCACACAGCAGAACATGCACCTAATTAATTGCACAATAAAGAAGAGATCTTGATGGATCTTAATTTTGGTTGTATGGCTGATGGACATTAAGTTACAAGTTGAGGCAAGACTAGATTAATTGAAGAATCTCCATCAGGAAATATTTAGATGAGCACAAATATTGACTTTCTTTTAGTGCCTATCAGGAGTATGACCCTGACTCTTTTTGTCACAAGGATTAATTCTTAGCTACTCAAGAGCACACCTAGTTTTAAAAAGCACTTAGTGAACAATTGGCATTATTTTGCTCCTTACTGAAAAAACGGAAATGGAAGAAATGGTAATTTTTAGGCTCTCCTGAAATTGTTACTATAAGCTTATAAATGGATCTTTATTACTGGAAACCAGATATAGGTATTGATAGAGTTATGGACGGGCTAACAAGTTCTGTTCAGGTTTAGAGAATCTTATCTGGCCGACCATGAATATCCTTGATAGTTTAAGCTCATTTAGTGATGGCCTATGAAACACAACATTTAATTCAAATGCTGCAAGCAAACTAACAAATACATAAAAACAAAATATGAAAATCATAAAGGAGTCCTGTTATGATCCCTTTTTTTAATCCCCTTCTCTCCTGCCCCAGCTTTATTTTAGGCCAAAATATGTTTGCTTAAGTGAATTCAGATATCTCCACTACTGCACTCTGTATTCTGTGCAAGCCATAACCAACAGTGGGAAAGTACTCTGTGACTTAATTTATAGCTCTGATATAAAAAAACCCAAACCTTTATTCCATATAAAGAATAGTCCTGCATTCCTGTTGTCATTATAGTGCAAGGGTTCCATATTGCCAGAGTTTCCTACCTCCTTGATGTTTCTTGTAGGCAGCTCCTCCAGGCACTGACTCTTCCTCATCCTCACAGCAGCCAACTGACTCCAGTTCCCCTCAGCCAACCAATCCACTCTTTTATAACACTCTTCTGATTGGCTACAGGTGTGGCCTGTTAACATCAGGCCTGCTCCTAATCTTTAGTAATCAACCCAGCTGCAACATTTTAGGGGATATGATTACATTCTATTCTACCACCTTCATTTACCCATACTATATCCCCCTACACATTCCTTTATCTCACCATGTTATTTTCTGCATAAACATCTTAATAAAAGCTGTTTTCTTGAAAATTTTATATTCTTACATGGTTCATCTGAATGCATTTGCACCTATACTAAGTGTCTTTATATTTTGAACTACATTCTTGTAATTGCATTTTTTTTTGCCAACTTCTTCTTAGACTTATAATAATTTCATCTACAATATATAACCAATAATTTGGAATTCTGTTTTCATATCAAGTAATAATTGTTTTATAAAGCTCTATTAGCTATCTTTGATAACACAGTATAAGGTAAATTATTATATCATACTAAAGCAAAATATTTTTTAAAGCTTTAATTCAAAGTCAGTGTAATCAAAGTTAGAAACAGTAAATGTGATCTGATGGTGTGGGAGGTATTCCTGGAGGCTTTGCCCCCCTGGCTAAAAGGAAGCAAAGATTTCTGAATTTGCTTGGATATGTCACTAAATAAGTGGGAAAACCAGTATGCAAGGTACCATACTCTCAAAACATTGGCATGTAAGTATGATTTCTAAAATTCATTATTATCATCATGTGTCATTATTATCATTATGTGTAAATGCAGAAACTGTAGTAACTATGTTTACCTCAGTACTGAGAACTCTCCCATGCACCATGAAATTCCAGATTGCAGTTTGTGTAGCCAGATCAACTGGACTTACTGAAAATTAGAATGTCTCTGTGGATGATGCATGGTTTTGATTAGGTGACTGTGTATGTCTGTGGTTAGTCTCAACATAAGCAAATTTTTAAAACATTCAGGTTGCCAACACAGTAACCTTTTTGTTCACTGCTTCTTATTTTTTTTTTCTTCAAGAAATATATATTTATATGCCCTGAATTTATCCTAAGGCAGGTGTGGTTTATAAATGAACTGCAGAAGTGAACATTTTTCAGAGAGGCAGCAGATGCATTTGGCTGTATGTAGACGGGTATTTCTTCACTTGCAGGTGGCTTACCAAAAACAGACTGAAATTTTCATAACGACTTTTCATTCTCCTGTCAAAATTTCAAATGTCTTTTTTTTTCCTTTTGAAAGGCCAAAGTTTACATGATTGCAGCAGGGGTCATAGCAGGTGTGTATCTCCTTGGAATTGTCGTTCTTTTTCTTGGAGTAAAGGAAAGGGATGGTAAGTTATATTTAAATATGCCTCAATTTAATAATAGTTAGTTCACGTTCCTTTATTGAAAAGGTTTTTTATTTTATGTATTCTGTTTCTCTTAGATCCTTATGCCTTAAATTCAGACAGAGCAATTCCTTTTTGTAAGGGGCTTGCACTCACCATGAAGCATGGTCCATATGTGAAGCTTACAGCTTCATTTCTTCTCATCTCGACAGCAGTTCAGGTAACTTCAGACCCTCTCAGTCTGTCTGCTGGCCTCATTCCACTCCCAGCATGGGAGAGTCTGAAATGCAAATAACCTTTGGCTGGTGACTGGAGGGGTGATCTGGGGGGTGTTGCCTTCCCCTGTAAATCAGTAGGGAACCAGAATCCTCTTCTGGTGCCTGGGGTCCTGTGTGGCTGGAGATTGTTCTTACAAAGGAGAAGCAAAGCCAAAGTCATGACCATTTAAAGACTTTTTTCCCCTTTCTGTTCTTTTTTTTTTTTTTTCATAAAAGGTGAAGAACTAGTCCTAGTGACCCAGTCTGGGTCATTCTGTGTTATCCATGCACAGTCTCCTGTGGTTTCAGTTGCTTAGAGAATGCTTTTTCTCTTCTGTCTGTTCCTCTCTCCGTGTGCCCTGTTTAAACTGTTGCCCCTCTCTTTTGTGGAGGTGACTGCTCTCAGATAGTGGCTGAACTGGGTCCTGTGGAGTCTTTTGTGGTGGAAGGCATTAGGTCAGAGTAAGAAGACATTCAGAGGCAGGAGGTCTCACCTGTGTCAGAGTTAGGTAGAGCTCATTTTGAAATGAGGACCTGCAATTGGATGTGGCTCTCATGAAAAGATGTGGTGCATCCTCCCAGAGAGAGGAGCTGTAGAAAAGCCACTCAATAAGAAACCCTCACTCCCCATAAGTACAGCAGGCTTTTTAAGCCTGACTTTTAGCACATGTTCAATTCAGTAAATATATATTATTTTACTCTGAACTTGTACATAACAGTTGAAGTTTGCTTTATTTTGAAAAGCAAATAATTATTACATTTTTACCAAGAGACTCTTAATCACGTGAACCATTGATCAAGGCAATAGCAGGACAGAAGGCAAGAAAATGACATGTGAGAGAGCAGTGCTGTGCTCACCAGCAGTCTTGGTGAATTATTAAGTTCCTTGGAAGGACTGCTTAAAAGTTTGTTTGCCAAAGAAGCACTGAACTTTTTTGTTGGCCTGGATTTGGGCACAGCATCTGCTAGTCCTTGCTGGAATACCCAAGGGTGAGAAACAATAACAGAAGTTATTTCTGCTCATGTCTGGGATCTGCAGGTACTGTGAGCAACTGCAGAGACAGGGAGGAGATGAAAGATGAAAGGTCCCTTATTGTCCACGTCCTTCCAGCATCCACTCAGCCAGCAGGGATATAGAGCACATCTGGTTGCTGGCAGCCAGCTACTTGCTGACAGCACCCAGAGAGGAAGAGATCATTTGTCAGTCCATATCTCTCTGTTTTGCTGTTTGTGCAGACTGAAGGGAAGGTGTGAGGGGAGGCAGAAGCTGGAAGCTCTGTTACTCCAGTTGAGCCAGCATGAGCAACCCTTGCTGCTGTTACTTGAGGGAGGGGCACTGATTTTGTGAAATTTAGAGAGTGGATTACTGCTCAGCAAAAGGAATAGGCAGGTAAAGATGCATTGTCTGTAATTCCAGAGTGTGATATCCTGTGTCTAAAATTAGGGCAGCATAAACAGGGACACAGACTAAGGAAGGGGTTTGTGGCAACAGAGACAGGATACAACCTTTTGGATATCCTAATTTGTATACAGGTGATTGGCCACCTGTAATCTGCAAGCACACAAAGGAAGCAAGAATTGGTCGTGCTGCTGTGGCATGAGTATTAAACCCTCCTCTGTCACTCTGCTTCTGCAGAATTTCTGGAGCTGGCCCTCTATCATATTCTGGTGTTCAGAATCCCCCTGAGTTCTGCAGAAGCATGGTGGTGGCAGTGGCTTCACCTGTCATATAACACAGTGCAGTTAGATCCTCCCATGTGATGAGGATTCAGATGTAGGGAGATATCTGACCCAAAGCTGCACTCCATAGGTGAGGGTGCATACAAAACCAGCTGCTTTACTACAGGAAGTTGGCAGGAGTGTTATTACAGCTGCAATGTTACTTGTTTTGGAGTCAGAGCTTCTGGAGAAAGATTTATGGCCTTGCTGGGGAAGAGAAAGGACAGTTTCTTGCAGTAGCCTGCAGCTGAGACAACACAAGGCAACTGGGACATGGGGAATAAAGCCTCGAGACAGAATCCTTTCATAGGGCCATTTCTGTTCTGGTCAATTTTATGCTCTGTTAGGTGTAGCTTACCTCTTGCTTGCCCCAGAATTACTGGCAAGTTATTCCAGTGATAATGGGACAATTAACGCTTCTTTAAATTGTTGCAAACAAGGGAAGAATGAGACTCCCAAACTCTACATTTAATAAATCATATTTATATATTTAACTAACATAGAGTTATAAATAAATATATTTAACTAACGTGGAGTTATAACCAACACTCCATGTTAGTTAAATATACTATATTTAACTAACATGGAGTGTGATGCAATTTTTGTCTTTTTAAAATTTTCCTTTGTCTTTTGGTGGTCACCAAATGTCTTAAATTCGACAGCTGGAGCAGGGAAACTTTGTCCTGTTCTGCACTCATGCTGCTGGCCTCCGCAATCACTTCCAGTATTTGGTGGTGACCATCTTGGTGAGTTGCACTTCTCTCCCAAATGTTACCAGGTTTTCACTGGGCTTTGGCACAAAATTACAGAAGGCAAGAAGAGTTTTGTGTCTCAGCAGAGCTGTTAGGAAGCTACACTATCTTTTGCATTGTCTGTTTGAAGTAAAGCTGGTGTTCCCTACTGCACTTCTAAAAAAATAGTGGTTTGGAGCTTTTAATTCATTCCTTGTTGTTTTTACATGTAAGCCACAGCTTCTATAAAAGGCAGAAGCTGCTTCTAGAAAGGAGGTTTGGAATTTTACCTCCTTTGTCCCTTTCCCCAGTCCTATGTGCTGAAAATTAAACAACCTCAATTTGCATATTCATACACACGACTCCTCTGGGCTAGGCAGCTTGCAAGGATAAATATTTAAAATACCCAGAAATACGAAGATTCCTCTCTAGAGCAATTGGCAGTGTGACAAAAAGATCCTTTTACAGAATCTTTTTTCTTAACGTGCAGAGGTAGAATTCTGCTTGCTTAGGTGATACTTATCCTTTCCCACATTGTAAGACATATCTTTCCAAAACCATTAAAAACAAGATGTTGGAGAGGAAAAGAGGAGTGCTGGGTATCTTAAGGCTCTGCAAGTGATGGTCACCAAGAAGAGAGACAAGAGACAGTGGAGTTAAAGTAAGTAAAGACTGAAATATAACTAACAATTAGATGACATTTAAATAAAGGTCAAGTGTAAGGCTGCCATTAGTAGCAGTACTTCAGTGCATAGGTGAATGACATTGCTTGTGGTTGTTGCTGCTATGGGGGAGTATTTCAGTGTCTGAAACAATAATGTCAACTGCAAGCAACTATTTCTCTTACAGATTGCTCCTAAGAAGGGACACACAGTATGGAATGTACTCTTAAGTGTATCTTAGGAAAGGTTTATCTTGCACTTCAGCTTTATTCCTGTACCATGGGGTGGAGCTAAGTTCACTCATAATTTGTCAGGTTCAGGTAGTGTGGCAAAAGGCATTAGCACAAAGTGTGGCTGTTTGCAGTATGTTTGAACTTTAATGAATGAGCACAGCTTTGACTGCTGTGGTTTACATTAGAAAAGGAAATTTTAAAACACTATCTTCTGAGATTTGACTGTGGAAAACCCTCTGCTGGGTAGCTTAACAATGAATTTTAAAAAGTCAGTCAAAGGATGAGGAGAAACAAGAATCTGCATGTTCACCTTCCTTTCAGGCTTTTATGTACTAGACAAAAAGATGTCTGTGAGCTCTAGAGCTAAAGAAGACAGTGGAAGTAAGCACAGTACAGATACGGGTTTTTGTCCGTTGTAGGTATCAGCAGTGGTGAGCGTTCCCTTCTGGCAGAAGTTTCTGCAGAGATTTGGCAAGAAGTGTGCAGCATGTGGGATTTCGGTAAGCAAATCCTCTGAGAAATAAAATTCTGCTTGTGCTCATTTTGTTTGACAACGAGCCACTTCAGGAGCTTTTTCAAGTGCTTATAACATCAATCTATGTGAAATTTGCTCCGTTCCAGAGTTTGTTTTAAATCACTGTACTAAATTTCAGACAGATTCCAAGTTTCCAAGGGAAACTTTAGAGAAATGGATTGATGCCGGAGGGAGGTCCCAGTTTATTTAAGAATCTGCACAAATTCTCTTCATTTGAAGCCCTCAGAACTGAGCTTCAATGAGGTTTTATAAATTCAGATCTGAGTTGCCTAGTGTTGACAAGTTACCTGTTGTGCAAGGCTTGTTTTGTCTTTGTTATATGGTGCTGAGGTGTCTGTAATTCAGTCTCACAGAAGGAAACAAAAGTCTGTTAGACACCCCCTCTAGGAGCATCCACATCCCTCTGAATAGGGAGGGACAGTTATTAGTGAAGTAAAGAAAAAGGTGACCTAGCTGAGGAAAGAAGCCTAGTTTAACTCTGACACAACTCTGCAAAGCCAGCTCAGTGAGCCTGCCCTTGTCACTGATGGATTATTTTAAGTCCCTTACTTAGTGCAGACAGCAGCAATTTTCTGTCATCATCCTTGGTGAGTTATTGTATAGGCCTGTTCCTCCCCATTTTCCCCCTGTTTACCTTCAATTACTTATGAAAGAGGAAAGAAAAATTGCCTTGTGCACAACAAAGCAGGAGGACTTGAAAAATCCAGACCAAAGCTATATGTCAAAATTGGAACAAAGCTGAAAAATTTAGGTCTGGTGACAGAGTTGAACAGCTATAATTTTTGGAATTAAAATCTGTGTTGTAATGACTTCCAGAGAATCAGAAGTAACTTTAAAACCCAAGTTCCAAATATGCTGAATTGTTATGTGTTTTGAAGTAGGCATCTGGAATTCGAGCCCCATCCTTATTTCTTTTTACCACTTTAGCAAAGAGAATTGCCAAAAGCAGTATTGGCCCATTGACTAGACCTGGGAATGCAGATTTCCTCCTTAGGAAATCTACTCCTCTGTCTACTTGGCCACAAAAAATGCTTTCTTCAACCAAGTTGGCTCTATAAATTTAGTTTTACATGACTGGAAAGCCTGTCAGCACCTCTGTAAACATGGTTTAACTTAATTTTACAGTTGAGTTGCTTGACTGTTATGGTCTAAGTGGGGGATGGATTGAAAAAAAGCCACCTCTCTGTTTCACCTTGGAGACATTTCTCAGGGGACTCAGTGTGTGCTCAGTGATGGATTTTGTGGCTGACAATGCATCACAGGAGCTTCCTACCCTACCACCTTGTGTGATCTGTACAACTAATCTGTACTCTCCCACTATGAAATACAAGCACATCATTTAAGGCTCCTAGGTTTGTTATTGGGGAATATTCTACTGGAAGGAGAGACAGGGAAGAAAACTTTTTTTTCTCTAAAACCTCACTCAGCCTTCAGGGTGAACATGTGATTGGAAATTCAGTTTCCTGGGAAAAAAAGTCACAGTGCTCCAGACTAATATTTCCTGTTAAGGTGAGTCTATGTTGAAGAGAGCCCTCAAAGAGTTTAGAAACTGGTAGATAAGCAACAAGAATCTTGGGTTTCTTCCACTGATATTTCTCCCTTCTTACCCATTCCCCCAAAAGAGATGACCAGCAAGAGTAGCTACTGATTAAGTATCTCAAGTTTCTAGAAGTTTAAAACCTAGAATTTCTGGAATTATCAGGAATTAGCCTGCTCCCAAGCAGGATCCTTGGGAGGATAGGAAGAATGCTATCAACCAGGTTGGTGCACAAGCTGGAAATTATTCTCTTCTGTTTATTTCCTTCAGCTTCCACGTGCTGTGTTCATTTAGGTGTCTGCTCTGCCCTCACGGGGCAAACACTGAACTTACACTCAGTGAGTCTCAGCTGGTGACAGGAGGTGAAGTTGTCAGGAGAAATTTTAACAAGTGTGGCATCTTCTTGGTTCATAGTTTTGGCAACGTGTCTAAAAGCAAAGACGGCTCTCTCCCACAACTCTAGCTTCCATCCTAGCCAATAATATCTTTTGGCCATGGGTTTTGCAGGATTTAGTAAAAATAAGAGCACCTCCTCACAGATACGCAATTGTTTATTTGCCATCTATGAGCACTGTGCAGCATGGAGAGACACCTTTGGATGAGTCCTGGCTCTGCAGCCCCATTTCCACTCTCCCATCTTGTTTCCACTCACATCCTCCCTGCACCTTTTCCTGATTTGCCCTTCATACTGTGCTGCTGCAGAGACCAGTGCCAGCCTCAGCATCCCAGCAGGGTCACCTTGCACGGCGCTGTCAGGGCATGGATGGAAGGCACGGGATAACTGTGGGATGTTGTTTATAACTCAGAGGGCAGCAGCCCCGTGACAAGGGAGCAGATGCCAATAACAGAGTATTTGCTTTACAAGTAAGAAAGAAGGAGCTGCATTAGCTGTTTATTGCAGTGGGAGCGCTGCCCCCATGACTGCACTGCCACTGCATGAGGGAGGCTTTAGGCCATTGTAACCTCAGTCCTGCTGGCCCTGCTTCTCTTCCTCTAGGAAATTACAGTTACAATTATTATTATTATTATTGATCTAGAATTTTGTTTAAGTGCTTTGGTTTCTGAGTGGGTGCCCCATGTGGAGCATAAGGCAGTCATAAAATTGCTTATAGACAACATAAAATCTGATATTGCTGGAGTGCTCTCTTGTGGTGAAATAACGATTTTGCCACAACACTGGGCTAATGCAAGGATTATCTGCCCGTGCTGGGAACTTGCAGTCAGGAAAGGTTATTTTCTGCCTCCTTAGCTTGGGAGCAAATGCTTTAGATGGGAAATGCATTTAAAACATAAACATAATGGATTAGACTGCAGGACTCCCAGAATCACTTATCAAACAGAACTGTAAATAGCAATGCTTTGGGGAATCACTCTCTGTGAAAGCTCTTCTCATGCCCTCAGCTCCCAAGCTGCACGTATAGAGGATTGAAACACTTAATGTTAAACTAATCCCCATCATTAAAAAGCCCTGTAGATAAGCCCCTGGCTCTGGATTCTACATGTGCTGCTGTGCCTGTGGTTCACAGGCGTGGGAGATGGAGCATGTGACGGGTATAGGACAGCTGGGCAGTGGCATTCAATCAGCATTTTAAAAAGTGGATTTTCAGTCCTGTAAGCCCATTGCTTCAAGTTGAGGTTGAAGAAATCTAGGGACTATAACTACTGCCAGAAAATAAATCCCAAGCATCCCAAATTAATTTGGTTTTGAGGGTAACCTCTGTGGCTTGTCATGCAATGTCATGAGTGGATCCGGGTGTGGGGAGTGGAGTGAACCACTCTGACTTTTGGGTTTATTTATTGCTGAGTATGTATATGGCTTTAAAGAGGTGATTGGAAATGAAAGCAAATTCTTCTTCATCAAGACTGAAGGTGATCTGTGAAATGATCTATTTACAGTTTAAAATGACCACTGAAATCCTGCCACTACCCTTGAAATGCAGTGTGAGGATTTTTTAAGGCATTGTCTCTAATAATAAATGAAATAGTTCCAGTGGCCTAGAATAGAAATGGACATTTGGTCATCTCTGTTATTTAACTGGCAGAAAAATCTTCACCCAAGCTGATTAGCAATCTCCTGAGAATTATCAGTGTTCATGGATAAGGGAAGAGCAACTGAAAGTGTCTAGCTGGACTTGTGCAAAGCATTTTACACTGTCCTGCATGTCATCCTTGTCTCTAAGCTGGAGGGGCATGGATTCAGTGGATGGACCATTCAGTGCATAAGGAATTGGCTGGATGGTGGCAAAAGAGCTGTGGTCAATGACCCAAAGAGTTCTGGTCAATGGCTCAATGTCCAGGTGGGGGCCAGTGAGGAGTGTCATCCTCAGGGGTCTGTACTGGGGCCAGTGAGGAGTGTCATCCCCAGGGGTCTGTATTGGGACTCGTGCTGTTCAACATCCTTGTCAGGGACATGGAGAGAGGAACTGAGGCACCCTCAGCAGGTTTGCTGGTGACACTGAGCTGTGTGGTGCAGGTGACATGCTGGAGGGAAGGGATGCCATCCTGAAAGGTCTGGACAGGCCTGAGGGGTGGGACTGTGGGAACCTCATGAAGTTCAGCAAGGCCAAGCACAAGATCCTGCATCTGGGTCAGGGTGATCCCAGGCACAAAACTAGTCTGGGCAGTGAATGGATTGAGAGCAGTCCTGAGGAGAAAGAAATGGTGGTGTTGGTTGACAAGATGCTCCAGATGACATTGTTCAGCAATGTGAACTTGCAGCCTACAAAACCAAATGCTTCAAAGTCAGTGTGGGCAGCAGCTGGGGGAGAGGATTCTGCCCCTCTGCTCTGCTCTCATGAGACCCTCCTGCCATGCTGCATGCAGCTCTGGGACCTACAACCTCAGAAGGTTGCGGGCCTGGTGGAGTAAGTCCAAAGGAGGACTGCAAAAATAATCAGAGGGTTAGAGCACCTGTCCTATGAAGACAGGCTGAGAGAGCTAGGGTTGTTTAGCCTGAAGAAGAGAAGGCTCTGGGAAGACCTTAGAGCCCCTTCCAGTGCCTAAAGCAGCTTCAAGAGAGCTGGAGAGGGACTTCCTACAGGGGCATGCAGTGGTAGAACAAAGGGGAATGGCTTTTACCTGACAGATAGGTAGATTTAGATTGGACACTAGGAAAAAATTCTTTACTTTTAGGGTGGAGAGGCCCTGGCACAGGTTGCCCAGAGAAGATGTGGGTGCCCCATCCCTGGAAGTGTTCAAAGCCAGGGCTTTAACATTTGGATGGAGCTTGGAGCAGCTTGGTCTAGTGGAAGGTGTCCCTGGCCATGACAGGGGACCTGGAATGAGATAATCTTTAAAGGTTCCATCCAAAACCAAGCCATTCTATTATTCTACCTAGCACAGTTTGGGAATCAACCGCTTTAGGGCTCTTCATACAAAGTATTTATATGGCTTTGGGTTTTTGGAGACCATGAGTGTTTAGAACTATGAATGTGGTCAGGATCTGTGAGTTGGCTTCAAGACCGGTAAATAGGCTCTTGGGTCTGTTTAATTTCCTAGTTCAGTTGTAGCCCTAATACTGCTAACAGAGACAACACTACTATCACTTGTCCTACTTTTCTCCAATTATTCTGGGTAGTTAAGTACAGATTGGCTCAGGGCTTTTTGGAAATGCAATTTGACCAAAATGCTGAAGTGTGAGACATTGCTGTGTGTGTACTGTTCTGTAACACAGTTTTGTATTTTGAAGGGAACAGTCTGTATAACATTGAGCAGTGCATGCTGTAACTTAGATATAATGCTTTTCTTCTTCAGTGGATGATTCCTTTTGCAGTCATGCTAGTGACCATTCCAAACCTGATCCTGGCTTACTTCGTGGCCTTCGTCTCTGGTCTGAGCATTGCAGCATCTCTTCTGTTGCCATGGTAGGAGACTTTTACATTTGAGCTGGGGAATGGATGTATTTCTGCATTACATGTATGTACTACTGCATGGAATTTGCCTCTGAAAAAGGCAGAATATGGCAAGAGTCACTTCTTCTAAGAATCTTTTTGTGGTTTTGTAGTGGATGCTATATGCAGTGATACAAGCTTGGTCGCCCTGTTGTTAACATCCACTGTAGCTGTAGCTGCTTTTTGTACACAAGAGTATGTAAATTAATCAATAATCTAAGTAGTGTACAACGTGTGATAACATTACTTCAGGAATTATGAAGTTAGGCAAATCAATTAATGCTGAGCAATTAAGAATGTAGCAGAGGATACATAAAGCAAACTATGTCTAACCTTACTTTTTATAAGGGCATGTACTTATAGACCAAGGGGTAATGGCTTTAAACTGAAAGATTATAGATTTAGATTATGTTTTAGAAAGAATTTCTTTACTGTGGGGATGGGGAGGCCCTATCACAGGTTGCCCAGAGAAGCTGTGGATGCCCCATCCCTGGAAGTGTTCAAGGTCAGGCTGGATGGGGCTTGAAACAACCTGGGATAGTGGAAGGTGTCCCTGCCTATGGCAGAGGGCTGGAATGAGATGAGCTTTAAAGTCCCTTCCTACCCAAACCATTCCATGATTCTGTGTGTCCCTGTTTGAGTAATCCTTTGTAATGGATCAAATACACAAGGTTATGATTTTAAGAAACCAAGAATTCAAGGTCTTTTGCACTTGAGGACTGAAAATAATGGGGGAAAAACACCTCAAGGATGAGCATGGCAGGACATTTCCTCTTCAGACTGAATAATTGTTATTAAGATCACATTAACCAGAAAGCAAGACCATTGCTGAGAGCACTGTTTTTCATAACTTGTTTGTACAGTGCCTTGAAAACTCCAAGAGATCATGGAATACTTAGTTTGAAATTAGTTGTCAGACTATGTAAGCTTTTCTGCACAGAGGGTGAGAAGACTTTTCTTTTTCCAACAGTAAATGATTACGTATATTGGAAAAAAATGTCAATTCACAATTAATATTCAAGCAGCTTCCATTCTAATTCCCCATTACCTAATTCAGTCTCTTTGAATTAGAGAGAGAATATGTTTCATTGGTTTCTGAAATTGTTGTTACCTTGTCAAAAGAGTTATTTCAGAGTGCAACTATTCAGACATTCAGAGTCCCTTGAAATCTTAATAAATGTTGGGGGGGGGGGGGTTGTTGTTCTTTTTTAATATCACAACTTCTGATTGGAATGACAGACAGACTAGGAAATTCTGTCACTTCTCAAGTGTTTGATGGCTTTTCAGTGATTTTCCACATTGCAATATATGGCCATGCTTTTCTTACACATTTTTTGCCCTCCTTCCCAGGAGTAGAACCTTTTGAACTGGATTCTTTCATGTGCATGGCTACATCAATCAGCTTAAAAATGGAGGAGGGCTGTGCTCTATTTCATTAAGTTTGTACTTTGAAAAGAAATTTTGGCTTGAGTTTTTCTTTTATCTTGCTCACTTCTAGGTCAATGCTGCCTGATGTTGTTGATAACTTTCGCCTGCAGAATCCCCATGGGAAAGGACATGAAACCATTTTCTATTCTTCTTATGTTTTTTTTACCAAGATGTCAGCAGGAATTGGCTTAGGAATTTCTGCAGCAGGACTGGAGTAAGTAACACTGTGTTTCCACTTAGTGGATCTACTCTGAAAGCATTTTGAGGTTACAACACTTTTACCCTGTGGAGTTAATTGCATGCACTGAGCCTGAAAGCGCCAGCAGCTCCAGATGGCTGACCACTAAAGACAGGATTGGTGCCATCTAGGCCAGACAACTGAGCATTAAGTTACTTGCCCTGACATGGTTCTATTCAGAAAAACCAGATTTCCCTTCAGATTTTCCTCCTTTCAATTACTCATGTAAATTTTAGTGGCTTATATGAATAAAGAACTAAACACAAAAGTGCAGCAGATGAAGGGTCCCCCACAGGTGATACAGGTGCTTTGTGCACTCCCTGTTGCACTGGACTATCTCTATGAGCTTGTAAGATTTTACATGGACTGGAGTGCTTTTGGGGGTGCCAGAGACCTGTTCAGCATGAAAGGATCACCAATTCCTGCATCATTTTAGGGAACTGGATACTGATCAGAGTCAGGAACAGCCTTTCTCACAGCTCTGCCTGTCACCTAGACCATGTCACTTTAGGAGAAGGTTTATGGTCTCTTCCCATTTGGTCTTGTCTGTTCTGACCAGACAGGCTGAGTAAGTGACATCTCCTGCCCTGCCTTTGTGCAAGACCTGGCAGAAAGGGCCTGTGCCTGTCCCTGCTACAGCACACAATAAATACTTAGAAGGGAAATCTATCCCTCAGCTCCAGATTAGGTTCTGGTAACCAGAATGTTTTGCTTTGGGGCCTGGAGCTGAAATTGCTAAATAACAGGCAATGTTGGCTGAACATTTTGGGCTTAGGAATTTTAACTGCTTATTGCTAAAACCCTCAAACAATTTGCTGTTCCCCAATTAGCCCCTTTTCAATTGCATTCCAGTTGGGTCCCAGCAATTTGCCAAGGCAGATGTTTGTGGGAGAACACAGAAGACAAAGTGATGCCAAATGAGTTTTTATTAGGTGGATGTTCAGAAGAAAAACTCATTCCACACATAAGAAGTAGGAATTTGAGTATATCAGCAGTTGTGGGACTGCATGGAAGCCCTGAACCAGTGAAGTGTACCTAACTCTGAGCACTTGAGTAAATTTGTCTATCTTGAGACGAGTGCTTAAGTGTGTGTTTAATTTAAAGTTAATTATTGCTGTTGAAATTGGTGAAATTACTTCCATGCTTTTAAAACAGAGCTTGAATACTTTGCTGAATATTAATAGGAAACACATAACAGATTAATTTCACATAACCACAGAATCACAGAATGGGTAGGGCTGGAAGGGACCACAGTGGCTCATCTGTTTCCAACCTTCCTTGCTCAAGCAGGGTCATCCCAGAGCACAGGCACAGGATTCTGTCCAGATGGTTCTGGAATATCTCCAGTGAGGGAGACTCCACAGCCTCTCTGGGCAATCTGTTCAGGGCTCAGTCACTGCACAGGAAAAAAGTTCTGCCTCATGTTCAGGTGGAACTTGCCGGGTTTATTTCCTTCCATGGGATTCCACAATCCTTTCTTTGAAAGTATGCAAGCAATTTGATCAATTTCAACAGCAATAATTAGTTTAAATGTTATATATAATAACAAGAAAATACAGAGATAATGCAGTTATCTGAAGTTGAGCACAAAAATGTGGTTTGAAAACACAATTTGAAATGTAGTGGAGAGAAGGAAAAAAGAGAGGTGTAGGGAAAATGGGAGAAAAGTCTTGAAGAGTGAGGGGAGTGGGGAGAAGGAAAAAAGAGAGGTGTAGGGAAAATGGGAGAAAAGTCTTGAAGAGTGGGGGCGTAGGGAGAAGGAAGCCTTCAGGTGAACAACAGCCTTTTAGCTTTGGACATACACACACCACTTGTTTCCATTTGTTTAGGTTTACTGGGTACAAGCCAGGGATATGCAGACAGTCAGATGATGTGATCCTCACACTGAAACTCCTGATTGGAGCAGTCCCTGCCATCCTCATCCTTTTAGGTTTGTTTATACTCCTTTTCTACCCCATCACTGAAGAAAGTCGGAAAAAAACAAAGCTTGCCCTTGAAGAGTTAAGGTAAGTTTGGACTGGCATGAAAACAGCAGCAACACCCCCACAGCAGCTCTTAATCATACTGGGAAATTTATTATTTTAAGGAACCCCTATATTCCTTACAACAAAATAAAACAATGTGCTCTTAGTCAAATTATTAACAGAATGGTACCATGACATGTTCCAGTATCTCTTTTTTGTAGTGCAGTACAACCTGCTTAGAGGACCATTTATCAGAAATTTCAGCTGCTGTATTTATATTTTCTCTGGAGTGGCTCACAAAGCACTATTGTGGTACATTGTTTCAGGCCAGAAATGAGGAATATTCTACATAGATTAAATTTGTGGGGGTAATGTGAATAGCTACAATTTACTTTTATATAGAAGAAAAAGTTATGTTGTTGACTGCATTCTTGGTGTTTATGGCATACAAGAAATATCCAAACCATTTAGAAGTGTAGGCAGAAAAGATTGTGGGAGAAAAAAAGAGGTCAGTTTTGAGCTATTCTTTCCCTTTTTACTCTGTCACTCTCCCTTTCTCCTTTTTTCTCCTTCCCCAAGAAAAATCGTGTCTAGCTCAAATTCATCTACCTCTGTCAACTCTTGAGGACATACATAAGGAGAGTCCTAGCAGACTGATGGATAAAATACCAAAAAAAAAAAAAAAATAGGTTGTTCCTTTGTCTTGGTTTTATTCTCCCGATTTACTGGAATTGGAAACTGATTTCCATGCAAAGAGGTCCATTCCAGGACCTAAGCAAGGGTGCCTGGAACCACTTCATGCCCTAAAATATCCAAGATATGTGCATGGGGTTGGCAAATATGACAAAGGCCTCTATGCAGACTGGAGGGGATGGGGTAAACAATCTAAAATGGGACTGGTTCCTCTGTTCAGCAGCTTCAGTCCAGAGCACCACACCTTGCTGGGGGTCCTCAGCTGTTTGAGATTGCCAAACTCAGCTCAGTGAGTCAGCAGTGAAAGCCAGAAGTGGGTTCATGTATCATTTGTTCTGCTTTTACCAGGAGGAGCCACCAAAGCACAGAGAACTTGGACAGCCACGAAAAGGACACCTCTGTCTGAAAGCTCTGAATGCAGTGGCTTTCCAAATACAGACTCACATCCCACCAACAAACTCTGTGAGAGTTTTCTAGGTCATTTCTCCACTCACATTTTATCAAAAGGGACAAAGGGTGGTTCTGACATAGCCAGTAATGAAATCAAGAGAGGACACCATTGTGCAAATATACACCTAACTCCATGCACTGTGCTAGAAAAGACATTAGACGTGTTCAAAAATGCAAGCTATTGAAGGCTTGGGGATTTTGTTTGTTTTTTTCAATGATTAATGGGAAGCTGTGATCTTGTTCATGAGACATTTTATGCATTTGTAACTTAAGAGGAAGAAAAAAGAGTAAATGTGACCAGAGAATCTTTGAAGGTTCTGAATTGGAAAATACTCTGAAGGGTCATTGAGTCCAATTCATGATGCACCATCCAAACATTAACTCACAATATACTTCACCCTTGGGGGCTGGGGTGGATTTTGAGCACAATCTCTACCTATAACTTGCACACTCTTGTGTCTGGAAAGCACTTGGGAACCTGAAGTATACTACATGAAGTTAGGATTTATTTGTTTTGAAATGTAGCAAATCGCTCATGCAGACATATTTTGAGGATTTTTTTTCATTTTTTTGAAAGAGATTTTGAGGTAATCTAAGTTTATAGATTCTACAAGAAGTAGAATCCTGCATTTCCAGTTACTGATGTTTCTTGCTTCTGAAACCTGTAAACTGATCTCTGTCAGAGAATGAGAACTTCAAGTTTTCAAAATTAACATCTCCCCTGAGGATATGAAAAATAAGTAGTCCCTTCCAAAAATTATGTAATTCAATTTTTCTTTAAATTTTGGCCTTTAACTTACCACCATACCCATTTCTCTCTGCCTCACAAAAAACCATGGCATGGGTATTAATCTCAGCTTGCACCTATTTTGTAATAATGAAGCTACACCAGTCTTTTAAATTGTGATTTTTTTTCAGTCAGGGATGTTATCATGCTTTAGATACATCAACTTATTTCTACTATAGATTTATACTGTTGAGCACACTTTTTAAATGAAAGACACACCTAATCTCAGGCACCTTCTGGAGCACTGAAGTTCAGACCTGTTCATTCTTGGCTTCTGTGGTGGTTCCAGAGAATGGACACTCCAAGCCTAAGCTAAAATGATGGGACTCTGAAGACATATCTAAATCTGGAAGGAAGAGTGAGCAATTCAAGAGGTTTGTTCACCTTGAAGAAATTAGCAATGCAAGACAAGACATGAATTTCATCCCACTGCCCCTTCCCTGAGCGAGTCTGTGAGTGCCTTTTTGCTGCACCAGAAGTGCCTTTGGAGGACAGGCTTGCTGCTGTTCGGGAGCACCTGGAGGAAGGGGCCACCTGAAATTTGCCCAGGGCCATCTGGGAAGTGGCTCATAGTGCTGGGCTGGAAAATTGGGAAAGATTTTGCTGAAGGACACTGGGATGTAAAATCGGTGCAACCATGAAGCATCTCATTACGTTTGATACTGAAACCCTGTCAGGCAAATTTGAAGTAGAAGGCCTTATGAACTCTCCTCAAAATGCTTAATTATGAGGAAGCTTCTAAGGGTATATTTTGAGTGTGTGTGGGTAAGAATTAACTTCATTTAAGATTTCTGTTTACTTGCCATCCAAGGCTGGGGTTTTATGTTTTCTTCCTTGTTTCAGTTTTTGGAGAAACCAAGATATGTATGCCTGGGGCATATGTGTTTACAACAATAAAAACCATAAGCCTGTTTACAATTTTGAGTCTGATGGAATTTGAAATAGCAGATTTACTGCACTTTGAAGTAGGTAAGTTATGTAGCAATATCACATAGCTCCAAAACATCACAGAGAACAGTTTGGGGCATTCAATTTATTCTGTAATATTTGTGTATTTCTGAATAGCCACATTTAAAAATAACCAGAAGGCCCAGTAAAGGCTGTTAATGTTTTTTAATGGGTTATGTTTTCAGCTACTATAAATCTCTAGCTACAAGGCAGTGGGTCTGTGTCAGTTTGTATTAACTGAACACTCAGCCCAGTGATAAAGGGGCTGCAGAAAATGCTGGGTGGGGTTGAGTGGAGCCATTTGAATGTCGCTTACAATACTATTTCTAGATCAGTTGTGCAGTTGCCTCTAAAATTGCATAACACCCAGTCTGAATTCAGACTCTTGGAAGGTAAACTTGGTTGACTGTAAACTGTTTTCTTCTTCTCCAGAGAGACAATGTGATCTTTATCTCACTGAAATATACTCAGTCCTCACTTTGCATATGGTACCAACAGGAACTCCCAAAAGAAAAGATAAAGCTTCTGTAGATTAAGTGAAACAGACTGTTTTTATATTTTGAAAATCTCATTATTTTATTTCATTATCAGAAATATAATGTTGATGTAATTTTGTTGAGAAAATGGGTGTATTTTTGCAAGTCAGAAGAATGGAGGATTAAGTGCAGGATAAGATTATTTTTGTACATTTCTTTTCTTAGACTCAATGTTGGTGCAGTAAAATGAAAGAGATTTTTATATCTCTTGTCAGTTTTAAATGATGTATATGCCTTATGCATGTTCAGAACATGTGACCAAAAGGAGCAATTTTTTATGTTGACAAGCATTTAGATTAAACACTAATCTAATGTAAACCTCTTGCTTTCCCACTGACTGGCAGTAACAGGGGCTGGGTTTAATTCCCAGGGGTTCTCCTTCAGGTAATATCCAAATACATTAATAAGAATATAGGAAACTGGATTAAACCAGCTGGGTGCATAAGGGACAGCACTTCCCCACCTGCACACAGGCAATTCCAACAAATATGGGAAGAAAAGAGAAGGATAACAGAGTGGTGTGTCACTTGGTATTGCTCTGGAAGCCAAACCATGTCCAATTCCTTGTCCTTGTTGAAGTGTAGTGAGGGCAGCCCAAATCTTCCATGCTGGGCTGGTTACTGGCAGTCAGTAGCTGAGCTGGTCACCAGTCATTGTATCATGGAATCACTACAGTTGGAAAAGACCTTGAACATCATCAAGTCTAACCATCAACTCAGTCTTCTCTTCCAGTTTCATTGCTTTTCCTGCCTAACAACAACGCTGGCACCTTCCAAGGTTACCCCACCCCCCTAAAGCTTCCTGCTGGTGATCAGGTAGCTCCATATCCAAGCTGCTGTTCCCACCAGGCACTGGTGGAGAGGGTTGCTGTTGGCCACCAGCTGTGCCTCTGTGTTCCTCTCCTGCCTTGCTGTCCCTTGCCTGTCCCTGAGCTCACTGACCGACCTTGGCTTAGCTGGATCAGATCCCTTCTGCCAAGTACCCCACATTAACAGGTGGACACCACCTTGGACATCTGTCCCTGGGGAGTCTCTGAAGGCTGGGACCTCCTGTGTCAGGTCACTGGCTTTTCAGGAAGAGCTCTGAAGATTTGAGTACTAATTCCTTAAGTCACTCCTGAACCTTATAAGAATTGCTGCTTGATTCAATCCCTGCTGCATCCTCTCATCTTTATTCACCTTCAGCATTCCAAGCAAAGTAGTTGAAGAGGAAAATGTTTTAAAGCAAAATGCTTTTGAGTTCTGAGTTTGTTTCCAAATACCACTTGTTCATTTACTTCTCTGCTTGCCTTTCTGGGCTGTAGACAGAAAACATAGAGTTAAATCAATCCTGTTGAGAGGAGGAGTTTCCACCAAGGCAACTTGGGTCCTTTCAGACCTGGTATCTGTTGTTCAGCTGTAAGATGAAGAAGAGAGGGCAAGTTAGCTCAAAGTCCCATCCAATAGATTACAGCAGTTTAGTGGTCAATCATATACATAATATGAATTTCATATCATAGTTGTGTAAAAACAGTCTCAAAGTGTTACAATAGCCTTTTCCTTAAGAAATCTTCTGGACTGATAGGAAGCTCAGTTGGACTCATGCAACAGGTGGGTGCAGGAGGGAATTTTGTTTTCATGCAATTTCACTGAATGTTTTTTTTTTAAACTTTCTGCAATTCCACAGTTCAGCTACTCAGCAAGAGTGCTAAATGTTATGGTTACAAGAATGTGTATATGCTGTAGGCTTAAAATATGAAATCAGATGGCTTTCACTTCACAAACAGCAAACTTGCTGCACAAACCAGATGCTAACTCACTGAGAAGCTTCATTCAGAAGATGAAGCAGCAGCATCTGTCTGTCTCCAAGGCAGAGGAGGAAAGTTTTTGCTATGTAGCACCTGAGAATTTACAGTCTCTGAAGACAAAAAACTGGCATGATAGAGCTGAACAAAGAGAAGACACTTTTAAGCTGTGGCACTTTTCAGGGCAGTTGGGTCCTCAGTACCACTTCAGAGGCATTAAAGAGGGCAGCCTCCAAGCCCAGCTGGAGATCCTGATCTATTTCTTACTCCAAATGATCTTAGATGAGAGCATGAATTTCAGCTACACAATTCAGATGTCTGTTCTGACTTTTGCTGTGCTCTGCTGTAGATGATGAGGAAGAATTGCTCAGGTCTCATGGAACTGATGATGGTTGTTTGCTCAGCCTCACTGATAAAGCTCCACTTTGGAGGCCCAGCACCCATCCCCTGCTAGCCTGTTTTTGCTGATGTACACAGCATCATCTGTATTCAGCAAAGGATCAAAATAATTCCCTTTACACCTTAGTATTCTCCATCATAGAATTTCATCTGTTTTACCTAGAGGATGTTTTTGTCTGCCTAGGGCTTGTCACTGTGATGATGTAACAGGTTTACATTGGCTGAGAAGTTTCTGTTCAAACTGGCTGAAGCCCACGAGGACTTAAATTCCCTTGTGTTTCCAAAATAAACTCCCCCTCTGGTCACCTTCAAAGTCATAGAATAGAATGCACATTTCCACATCCAGCAGGTTCAACAATTTCCACAGCTGCTGGACGCGTTGGATCGTGAGTCTCAGTGCATGGAAGTACCTGCTGACATCAGTGTGGGATGAAGCAGAACTTCAGCCACCCCAGACTCCTGGCAAAGTCTCAGCTGTGCTGAGCTGGCCTAGCAGAGAGAATGGGCAACTCCAGAATTCCCAAAGGGACTTGTAGGCATGAAAGAAGAGCCATAAGAGAAGAGAGTTTGTTAAAACCTGCAGTCTTCTCTTAAGGATTCTTGGATTAGGCTTGGTACTTTTTCCAACTATTTGGGCCTTCTTTTAACATTCAGCTTTGGTGAAAATCATCCCATAAGTTTAGAAATAGCACTTTGATTTGAAATCAAGCCGCCCTGAAATACTTGGGTGTGTTAGTTGACGAGAAGTTCAACATAAGTTGGCAATGTGTGCTCAGAGCCCAGAAAGCCAAATGTGCATTAATGTGCTTTTGTTGTGCATCAGTGTGCCAAATGTGTCCTGGGCTGCATCAAAAGCAGCATGGACAGAAGGTGAGGGAGAAGTCCTGTGTCCAGCTCTGGGACCCCCAATATATGAAGGACACAGACCTGTTGGAGTGAGTCCAGGGGAGGCCATGATGATGCTCTGAGGGCTGGAGCAGCTCTGCTGTGGAGACAGGCTGAGAGAGCTGGTGTTATTCAGTCTGGAGAAGAATCAGGGGAGGCCTTAGAGTTTCCAATGCCTATAAGAGAGCTGGAGAGGGAATTTTTAAAAGAGCATGTGGTAATAGACAAGGGGGAAATGGCTTTAAACTGAAAGAGTGCAGGTTTAGTTTACACATTGGGAAGGAATTATTTTCTGTGAGGGTGGTGAGGCACTGACACAAATTGCTCATAGAAACTGTGGATGCTTCATCCCTGGAAGTGTTCAAGGCCAGGCTGGATAGGCTTGGAGCAACCTGGTCTAGTAAAAGGTGTCCCTGCCTCTTGTCATCTTATTGCAGGGGTTCCATAACGTTGTCTCTTTATTGCAAAAGTTTCATACCTTCTTGCTGTTTCTCATGGGCAGTTCCTCAGAGCACTGACTCCTTCTTCTTCACAAAGTAGCTAACTAACTTCAGTTCCCTTTTCAAGGGGCCACCCCACTCTTTTATAGCACTCTTCTTCTCATTGGTTATAGCTGTGGCCTGTTAAAGTCAGGCCTCTTCCTAATCTTTGCTAATTTGCCCAGCTGCAGCTCCTTAGGGGTAAGATTACTTTCTACACTATCTTTATTTTCTTATATTCTATCCCCCTACTCTTGCCCACAGCAGGGGTTGGAACTAGATGATCTTTCAGGTCCCTTCCAAGCCACATGATTCTGTGATTCCATTAAATAAGCAAGTCCGTCAACATAAGAATTTTTTTCTTCCAAGATTCCTAGGATTATATTTTAAATGCAGTATTTGTCCATGTGCACAGAGCACATCATGAAGAGCCAGTGTAATCTGTTGACCAAACTATTAACAGCTTTTAGCAGGTGTCTTGTCTGCTCCACTTACCCCACACAGCACTGCCCTGTGCACAGGTAAGTCCTTGGTGCTTACATGGGGAGCTGGAAGAACTCCACAGGTCTGTTTGGTGCAGCCTGAGACTGAGCACACTTCTGGTGGGACACTTTGTCTTGTCAATCTAACACAAATAGGAATAATTCCAAAATAAGCAGCTAATTTTTATATACACTTTGGCTGCATAACAAAATTACAGAAGCAGCATTTGAGACATGAGAAATTCAAAGTCAAGGTATTCTGCAGAGCCAAGAGTGCTCAGCCCTGACCCTCTCCTCCCATGGGTTAGTGGGATGTTGGAATCAGGAACAGGCATGAAAAAGGACTGTCAGGCAGCTGTGAAGAAACATGGACCATCCCCAGCATCCAGCCTGCTTTGAACCCACACCCAGTGCTGAGGTTTCAGTGACTTTCTGGTAAGGACAGCTGTAATCATGGTCCACCTTTTGATGAAACAGTGACCATTACTGAGAAGATACGTTATGTAAAGGATTGAGCCCACAACTGCCAAAGTATTTCACTTTGTTTTCCTTCTTCCCCGTTCATCAAAAGCTGTAACTTGTAGTTTCACCACCCAATGCTGAGTGCTCTCTGCAGCTTTTGCTAGTGTTGTATCTTTAATACTGTGTTTTTGTGGATATATTTAGTTTGACAGTGGCTAAATTTCCAAATAGGCAATAAAAAAAAAGGAGATTATCTTTGTCCTGAGACAGCAGCTCCAATTCTATAATCTAGCTGCTTGATGCCTTCTCACACAGTAAGTGCCACTGTGAAAGCCTGATAAACTGCTTAAAGTTATCATGCTGTGATTTTATGGGGAGCAATCTTGGATTAGTCTTTTCTTCAGTGCTGCAATCATGTTACATAAACTTGTGCTTACATAAACTTTTTCTACATTTCCCCATTGCATTTTCTCTCTTTCTCACTACAAAAGCCCATAGAACATTTTCTTCTGTCAGACTTTAGCTGGATGAGACATGTGGCAACCACTTCCCCAAATCCAGAGATGGAAGCAGAGAAGTGTTATGGGCAGGTACAGGAGGGGAAAAAGATATTGCTTACACACAATATGGGTATTACTCATAATCCTATTTTGTCCCAAACTCCATGACCTTCCATTGGTGCTTACACCAGTGCAAACCCAGGTGCACTTCTGCAGGCACTGCTCCTAAACAACACCAGCACAATATTTCAGGCTTTGGCAGAAAAGAGGAAATGGGGGACAATGCAGCATTTTCAAAGATTTCTTTATTATCCAAGTTTACTATTATCTAAAACCACCAATGTATTAAAGACCGAGATGGAAACTTGAGCTCAGAAACTTGTAAGAATGCACATTTTCAACCTCATCTGTACCTCAAGAGACATAGTTAAAAAACACTGCTCAGTATAAAAAAAAGTTAACGTTTCCAAGGATCAAATAAATAATTTTCAATGCAACAAAAAATTATAGAAATTGTACAGACATTGGAGACTGTTATTAATAATTTGCAGTCCCATACAGTAAACATAAAAGCCTCCCATCATCAGAGAGGTATTGCAAAACCACTGTCAAAAACTACATTTTATTGCTGGGCTGTTCTGAAGGGCTGATGCTGTCCAAGGTCTTGGAGGAGCAGTCCCTCAGTACTTCCAGAGAACTGGTGATGTCCAGGCTTTCAGAAGAAGTGGATCTACACCCCTGTGTGGAACTGATGATGTCCAGAGTTTTGGAGGAGCGGGCACTGTAGCCTTTTGCAGTGGCATCTCTGATGAGGATCTCCTGTGTGGATGTGAACATTAACGGGATGAAGCCCTCGCTGTCTGCTGTGAGGATGATCCAAGAGGAACCTGGGAAGACAAGCACATGGCTGTTGATAAATCTTTGTGTAATTAGGGTACCTTTAAGGTAAAAACCAAATTTCTTCTAGAATTAAATGCTTCGGTATATTTACAACTTTCTAGAAAAGAAAAGGTATGAAAATATATAGGTCGTACAATCTCAAAAATAAAGAACACTTGGCAACTATGATGGATTTTGCCATTAGGAGAGGAGATAATAATAAATGCATGCTTCAAATGAGGAGGAGGATTGAAATTCTGAGCAGAATTCATAAGCATCCACACTTGGTTTTAATTAGGTATTGATAAGCTACTTCACAGTGCTAAAGCTATGCAGCTACTATAAAAAGCAGAGATTTAGTAAATTAAATGACAAATTATTGTAATAAAGACAATTTAGAAATTGCTTTTATTACATAATTTCACTATACTTAATTCCAAGAAATACAAGGAAGGAACACTTTACAATACTGTACAAACCCAAAATCTCTAGGCCATTTGCTATTTGACTTCATCAATAGTTTTTTTCTCTACAATTTGAATCTGAAACCCTGACTTCTGCCAACATAAATAAACTAGAAAATTTTTATATTTTGATCCATTAAGCTGATAAAGCAAGAAAATAGAGCTCATGAGGGGTAAGGGAATTCAGAGGAGCATTTCCAGCTGTTTGTAAATTTGTATTATGTAACTTTACGTCACAAGAAGATTGTAGCTTAAAGGCACACAACCATCTAATCTTTTGGCTTAATTTGGACCAAACTTGAAAATCAATACAACTCAGGATTTGAAAATACCATTCCTACTTTGCATCTGTATATTTCAAACAAACATACTCCCTCTAGAATTCTTTAGGAGAAATAAAACTTGGCAAGAACAATGGCAAGAACAACAGCCTTAGGCTTTGGGATGGCTGCCCAGTGATCTGCAAGCAGGGGGAGAGTAGATACAGGGGGCAAGTAGATGGAATACAGCACAGGGAATACCTGTAGTAGTGAGAAATCATACTCCAAAGTGTGTTTTCTACTTCTGCCCAGAGTGAGACACTCAGAACTGACATGTACACAGACACATGGAATGGGCACAGCATGAACTGGTAACAGCAGAGGAGAACACAGCAGGAAGAGAGGCAGTTTTCTTCACAGCAAAACCTGATGCACTGCTGAAGAGTACAGAGCTGCTTCTGTGCTACAGCATTTCCTACAGCAAGTCTAGATGCTGGAGCCACAGTTTCAAATATAGAACACTGTACTCCCAAAACCACCAGTCAACCCTACTCTCCTTGCTACTCAGACTTCTCTCTATTGAGCAGCTGAAAACAAGTAAAACACTGGCTGAAAGCAATTTTGCTGTATAACTAGTTACTTGATAAGAGCATCAATATTAAAGTTTGCTCTTCTTTTTTTTTTTAATAATGAAGACTCTTCTCAGTAAAAGAAGATTCAGAGAAGAATTTTTACATTATTAAAAAAAAACCAAAAGGCAAAATTTTATTCATCTTTCATTATTTATTTCTTGGGTTTTTCCCTGGATGGAATATGCATATTGCTATTGCTCACTAAGAATGACACACAGAATCACAGAATGGTTTGGGGTAGGAAGGGACCCTAAAGCTCATCCAGGTCCACTCCCCTGCCATGGGCATGGACACCTTCCAGTAGACCAGGCTGTGGGACACTTCCAGGGATGGAGCAGCCACAGCATCTCTGACAAGGTGTTTGTATGAAGTGTTTTCCTCTTGGATAATCCCAACATACCATGCTGCATTTCTACAAGGGAGAGGTTGAATATCTGCTGGACGATGTTTAGGCGGAGTTTACCACCACAGAGGAGAACAGCCCGACTTTCATCTGCATCACTTTTGGAAAGCTGCCTCTGAAAATGCAAGCAACAGTCATCAGCTACTGTGATGTATAGTTAAAATGGCATTAATCACAACAGGATCACAGACGTGTCTTCAGTGGCATTATTTACATGAAGTCAAATGCTCCACACATTCAGGCCCATTTGCAAGATTTATCCTTTGAAGTCTCAGCTGTCAACGTGTTCAGGAGTGACAGCAGCAAGGAACAGCGCTTATCCAGCATGTCAGACCTGGGGAGAAAATCCACTGCTGCTGGAGGAACCATGAGCTTCATCCACAGCACAATCCTCATCCCCATCCTTCCATCTGTGAAGGACTTCCCCAAGGAGCTTGAAAAGCTTCAGGTTTTCTATCCCCACCTTTCCCCACCCATCCCTGATCCAAAACTTCAGAAGTGAGAACCCCTGCTCATGAATGCTGGGGTGAGGAACAGACTCACAAGTCAGAAGAGCTTATTTGTCCCACCCCTGACCATCACTGCTCCAAGCCTTAAATCCAAAAAGCATCTTCAAAGAATATGCCCAGTTGGGCACGGGAAGGCATTTTTAAAATCTGTTATTACAATTATTAAATGTTTACAATGGAAAACAGTGAAGAGAGTGAGGGAATATGATCTAGAACTTGAGTTCAATGCTACAAAAGTTGGGACTTTTTTTCAGTAATAAAGCTTAAAAGTAAGAGCTAATTGAAAGGAAAATGGCAGGTTAAATTACTTTGAATATTGACTAAGGTTAATTAATCTGAATTCTAGAAATGACATAGTAGATCTCTGCCAGGTTTTGATAATCAGGTAATTTACCCTTTCTAGCATGAGATTTGCAAGAGCAAATCTTTCAGCCAAACAATGTGTTTTTCATGTGAAATTTCACTTTAAATCCATTTTTAAGCCATGTTAATGGAATTATCTATTGTGTCCCTAAAGGTCTCTTTCCTCCTTGGATGGTGCTCTCAATGCTAATTAGCAACATTTCTGTTTCAAAGCCAAGGCAATTTGCTTTTATTTCAGTCTTCATTATTTTAGTTTTCCTCACAGGAGAGCGGGAGATTGATACCAATTCCCACACATGGAAATCTTCACTTGTCTAAATTTCTATACAGAAAGCTTTAGGTGTTGCCTAGGAAAAGCATTCCCTTCCTAGATCTCTATAAAGGGCTTTAATTCTGCAGCTGGGCTGCAATATGTGAGTCCTCTAGAGTCCCTGCAGCCTCACTGCAGAGCTGAGGGGTTTGGCCCAGTGTGAGGTGGGGCAGGGAGCTTAACATTCCAGGATATCCCATTGCTTTAAAAACACTGGAAGCCTGCAGAGTAATGGGATTTATAACCATATATAAATACCTGCAGAAACAGGATGGAAATCTAATCCTACTGACTGTTACCTGAGCATTACAAAGAACATACAGCCACAAACAGGTTTCACCATTAAGGCTTCCAATATTAAAATTACCTGGCAGGTGATTTTAATAAATGATGGTTCCTGAGAAGATGGGTACACTGCAAGATTTCTCTTCCCAGATTTTAGCAGCTCAGTTAATTCAGAAAGATGGTGCTGCAATTCTGCGAAGTTACCAGACAATTTTTCCACATTTTTCAAAAAGTAACTCGCCTCCTTCTCACTGAAGAGGTTATTCTTGTAAGAATTGGGTATTTTGGAAGCTGCCTCATGCTGCCTTTTTGGGGACGTTGGCCTGTTTGAAGCATTAGACAGTGCCACGCTCCGATTAACTGGCTCAGCATCCAGAGTCTCAACAGCTGGAGGAAAATTCATGGAAATCTTTTTCTCTTTGAAGTCGCTGATGTTCAACACCAAGTTTTGTTCATAAGCAGGACTCTTGATTTCTTCAATGAGTTTCTTTCGGCTTGTGGGGGACTGAAGGGCAGAGCGATCTGGAATCAGGAGCCCACGGCTGAGTGGGTGGACATCTCTAGAGGGATCAGGACTTACACTGGAAAGGTTCAAACTGGAGCTGCCATCAGCTGACACAGCCTTTGAAGGACACATTTCAAGTATCAGTTCTTTAATCATCAATCGGATCATGTATTTGTCTGATCTTGAAGAAGGAAGAAAAGCAGGGTCAGAGAATTTTTGTCTTCCAACCAGTATCAGTAACAATTTATTGGTCAAGAAGCACAACCCCTTCGGCTTCTCGCTTTTCTCTAGCTGAATTTGTTGAATATTAGGTAAATTGGATGAAGTCAGTGAATAGACTAAAATAACATTACAAGTATTGGAGGCAACAGATACAGTTTGAGTTTTGGAGTCAAAAGCCATTATATCAGGAACAAGAATGCCTGGGATGCTCACTTTTTTAGTAGTGGTAACCTTTCTTTCAAAAGTCACCAAGATGAGGTGTGAGGAATCTTGGCCACTTCCCGTCAGGTAGTCCTTGGGCCTGAGGTGGAGGAGAGGGCTGGAATCAGCACTCTGCTTGCTAGAAAGAATGTGAGTTAGATCCACAGGAGATGTAACTACAGGCAAGGGCTTCTCAGAGTCCAGTGACTTCTTCCCCCCATCCAAAGAATACTCTTCCTCCCCACACAAGCTGGACTGTGAGGGGAAGGACTCGGTTTCAACGCTTGATGGAACTTCGAAGGCAACACCAGCATTTAAGCCACAGATCTTGTCCAGAGGGAGCTCGGTGGCAACAGCGACTTGTAAATTCTGCGTAGCTTCCACGGCACAGATGTAGCCTCCCACATCAAAGATTGGGCAAAAAGAGCAAGCGCTGAGTGTTTTCTGAGCATCATCCCAAATGTAGGAATGGAGGGCACTGCCCACCCCCACAACCAAGCGGTTGCCTTCCTTGGTCCAACAGGCGCAGTGGATGAGCCCGCTGCCCTTGATGTCTGCGTTAATCCTGGAGCTGTCGAGGTGGACAGAGGGCAGGACGGAGGCGTCCCGGGTGGTCAGCACGGCCAACACCTCCTTGCTGGGATGCCACACGCAGCCCTGGGGGAGCACGGGATAGGGCTCGCTGATGTCGCAGACCTGGGAAACCAGGAGCTTGTTCCTGTCGGCGCCGTTGAAGCAGAGCTGCCAGATGGTGATGTGCTTTTTGTGCTGCACGGCCAGCAGGGCTGGGGCCTCGGCAGGACAGGGGCCCCAGTAGAGCCCGTGCACGTGCTCAAACTGACCCACCACGCTGGAGTCACCGAAGGTGGGCTCCCCGTTGTGCAGGTGCAGCGCGGTCAGGATCACCTGCTTGCCGTCCGTCCAGGCCAGCCCGTGCACTGGGTGGATGGCCTGGTGCAAGGCGTTGAGGCCGGTGCGCAGGAGCTTCGCCTTTCCCAGCTCCATGGCTTTCAAAGTGGAACATCTACACAGAGCAGAATGAGAAGGAAAAAGAAATTATTGTAGAGGACGGTACCTGGATTACCATTTAGCTTATGACCCTGCCAGTGCTGGACTCTTCCTTCCAGTGAAGTCAATATAAACATAATGTTCACCTATGCTTAATTCCCAGCCCAGTAAATTTTTGTTTATGACGTTTCCACCATGAAATGCAATTTTAAGAGAAAGAAGCTTTGCTGTTTCTATAGGCTTACCGTCAGATTTCTGCTGCATTTCCATCACAAGATCACTCCCTACATTCTAATCAGTAATTCGCTGTTCTCAGAATATTTTCTGTTTATTTCAATATCAACAATTCTCAAAATATTGCTGCTCTCAACTTCCTGGAGCACTTGTGGCCAGATGAAGTCATCCCTGACAAGTATAACCAAGCATTAATGTATTATCTACAAATCTGATCCTGTATTAAGCGTGTGAGAAGGAGGCATTTGGATGGTTATCCCAGAAAGCTGTCTAAGAAAGCAAATGCAATTTTGAAGAGAATTAGGATGAAAGCAGATTTTTCTGAGGAAATGAAAGAAAAAATAATTTAAAAGAAGGCATACACAAGGCATCAACACTTGGGAAACTTCAGGATTTTACACTAACTTCTAGTTTTTGAGCTGTGAGCAATCCCTACTCCGTGCACAAAAGCCAGTTCAAAGGAATCGATGGTTTCCTAATTTGAGATCTGCACAAAATTTGGCTCAGATGTAAAGCCATGGCACAGAATGAGCTGCAGTTTTAGTAGGAAACAAGAAGAACAAGAAAGTTGTTTGAGACTAAAAACTGTCAAACTGGAAGAGTTTATCACAATGTGCGGGGCCTGGCACCACTCAGTATTTTAATTATGTGTGGATGACCCTAAACTTGAAGGAAGAGGATTGCAAGAATGGATTTAAAATATAAAAATTGTATAGAAAGTTATGTTATTATGACCGAAGTAACTTCTCAACCTAATAACAAGTGCAAGATAATATACCTAGTAAAAAAAACCCCACCAACTTGGATACCTCTCCAGGAATAATTCCCTGGGTAGAGGTATAGCAAAAAAGGATGTGGCTTACAATGAATCACAAACTGAATATTTCAGTAATGTGAGATATGTAGCCAAGTAAGAATAATTCATTCTGGAATGTTTTAAGAGGGATGGAGATACACAAGGGAGATAACTGCCCTACTTCCTCATTGCTAACAGCACCTCCATTGAACCTCCTTCTGAGTTGAAGATGATAGAAATGCTCAACAAAGCTAAGGGATCAGAGAAACACAGGAAGTGGGTTCTCTGTCTGGAGAAGACTGTGAGTGGGAACCAGAGAACATTCACCAGCCCAGTGACAGAACATCCATCCACTGGTCTCCAGGTATACTCTGGAGAGGGCATGATAATAATCAGCTTAGTTTCAACAAAGATTTAGGTCAGCTATTAAGGAAAAATTCTGACTATATGTAATAGCTAAGCATTGAAGCAGGTTACCTTGGAGAGGAGGGGAAGGCACTACATGAATTTCATAATCTGTAAGAGCCAATTAAGGAAATGTCTGTCAGGGATAAGTTTAAGCACACAGAATCCTGCCTCACAGGAGAACACTCAAGATACTTCCAATGCAACTTCTCCACCATCTACCTGGCCTCTCCTCTATAACCAAACTCAGTCCTGTTAAGCAGTCACCAGTTCCAGGAAAATTAACATTGGATGTGCCCTGTGCTCAGAACCCACTCTGCTGGTCAATACTTACTGATGGCAGGGAGATGCGAGAGAATGTGCCTCACAAGGCACTGAAAGATGCTAAAGCCTCCTGGGCCGTCTGGAGATGTTCCTGTGTCACAACGGGCGTTGTCACTATCCCAGCTGCCCTGGAAAAGCAAAAAGAGCAAGAGTGGCCAGTGCATTCCTGTGTCCAAAGCCACACCGCCTCCTGCAGCGCCCGGCCCGGCCGCAGCTCCCCGGGCAGGTGTCACACTACAGGCCGGGTGTCGGCGAAACGCGGTGCCCGTCCCACCCCCAGGGACAGAGGAGCCGCTCTAGGGACCCCCCTGCACGGAGCGGCCAGGGCAGCGGCGGGCCGGGGAGCCCGCACAAACCTCCCGCCTGCGCCGCCGCTGCCTGCGCGGGCCCGCCCGCCCCGCTCCTCCCCGCCTCCCGCCGCCTCTCCGCCCCGCCGCGGCCGCGCTCACCCGCCCTGCCGGCGGCCCGGCCCCGCTCCGCTGAGGCGGCCCCAGGCCCTGCAGCCCCGGCGGCGCTGGGCTGTGGCGGGCACCGCCTTCCCGCAGGGCCCGGCCCGCCCCTCTCCGCGCCGCCCGGCCCAGCGCGGTCCAGCTCCGCCCGGCCGCGGGGGGCGCCGGCGCCGCTCCGCCCGCCCGGCCGCTCTGTGGTGGCGGCGGCGCTCTATGGCCCCGCGGGTGGGGCCTGCACGGGGCGGGCGCCTCGGCCGCTGCCGCCCCCGATCCCCGCAGCGCCCCTGAGGGGCCGCGGACGCTGGCCGGCGGCGGCAGGGGATGGGGACTCATAAATCAGAGCATATCTGCAGCTGGGAGGCACCCATCGAGCCCAGCTCTTGTGCGCAGCACACCCCAAGAATCGCGCCGTGTGCCTGGGAACGCTTCCTCAACAGGCTTGGTGCTCGGACCGCTGCCCTGCAGAGCCTGTTCCAGTGGCCAGCCACTCTCTGGATGCAGAGCCCTTTCCTGATATCCAGCGTAAACCTTCCCTGACACATCTCCATGCCATTCTCCCGGCTCCTGTTACTGCTTGCCAGGGGGATCGGTGTCTGCCCCTCTGCTGGCCCTCATGAGGATGTTGAAGATCACAATGAGATGTCCCCTCAGTCTCCTCCAGGTTGGACAAACCAAGTGACCTCAGCTGCTCCTCACAAGGCTTTCCTTCCATACCCTTGCCATCCTTGTGGCCCTCCTTCAGATGTCCTTTTCATATTGTGACACTCAGAACTGCACATGGAACTCGAGGTGCGGCCACACGAGTGCAGAACAGAGAGGGACAATCCCCTCCCTTGACCAGCGATCAGTGCTATGCCTGATGCACCCCAGGGTATGGTTGGCTTCAAGCAAAGCATCACCTGCCAGGCTAAGGAGGTGATTGTCCTGCTCTTGTAATTTCCTTTGTCCCCAGGGGTCATCCACCGTGTGACACTTCCACACAGGACCTCCAGCCTGCTTACACCCATGTGGCTCCTGGAGAGGCCTGAGGAAGTGGCACAGAAGAGCAGAGATGCCTCCAGAGCGAGAACATCAGGGCCCTGGTGTTGTGTATCCCATCCCATGAGGTGGTCACACTGAAGTGAGAAACCATCTAAATTCAATGCAGAACTACTCCAATACAACCTACCTGCTCCTGATTTATTGTATTGAGCATAGCTCCTTATAAATCTCTGAAGCCCTTTAAAAGATAATTATATTGTGTGACTGTGCCACTTTGCCACTCCTCGGCACTGCAGAGCAGTGTACCAGATCATTGTACCAGTTTTGAAACCTACACTCCTGATAGGATGCTGAAACACTGGAAAAGGTGCCATAAAAAGTGCTGCCAAAGGTATGGGAAAAACAAAATGTTTAAAATAGTTGCAAATATGTAAGGTCAAATATGTAAGTAGCTCCAACTTAGCAAAAGAAGAACACTAGGTGGTGACTTGGCCATATAGCATGAGTGCCTGTACAGAGGGGAAACAACAGCACAAAAAATCTCTGAAGTTAATGAAGGAAGGTTTAACACAGAGCTGTGGACAGATTCAAATATGTAAGACACATCTGTGAGTCTGACTGACCAAACTGCCATCAGAGCATCTTCACATTAAAACTTGGTAATTTTCAGAGATATACAATTTTAAATAGTAAGTCATAGAATGGTTTGGGTTGGAAGGGACCCCAAAGATCATCTCATTCCAACTCCCTGCAGCAGGTAGGGAGACCTTCCTCTAGATCAGGTTTCTCAGCCCCATACAGCCTGGCCTTGAAACCCTTTGGCAAAAGACATCCCCTCCTCCCCATCACTGGCTTACCTGAACAGCTCAGTCAAGCCAATTTCCCAAGAAGTTCTGTTACACAAATGTGTGATCTGTTCTTACCTTCATAATATCCATTTTCCTCAGTGGTGAGTCTGGCCAAGCAGGATTGTCACTTGGTGTCTGGGACCCTGAGCCACCAGCTGGCTTTATTAGACAAAAACAGTTTTCTGACTATAATTTTAGTCTCACAAAGAATTCTGTTGAACAGCAATGATTACACTATTTTTTAAATATAAAACTTAAATTGACCGTCCATATTAATAGACAGAAATAAACATTTAAACCACAGAGACCACAGTTTAAGAATACCTCAGAGACATTTTTATGGTAAATGTCTATTTTTGTTTCCTATGCATATAATTAAGTACTTTTAAGTACAATTAAGTACTTTTAAAGACTTATTTTCATCATGTAACTTGTGTTATATGTAAACTGCTAATAGAGTTCAACAAATGAACTGAAAATATCACAAAAACTCAGAGTTAGTTGAAAATCTGCAAAATAATATTTCCATTGAAACGGAATTGACTCAACCTACCAGAGTGCCAGAATGGTGTGCATGTAGTTATTATTACACCAGTTGTTTATTTCCATGCCCTACAGTGTGTGTCTTATTTGTGTAACCACAGCCTGGTTATTTTGACATGTAGAGCAGCATGAAAAAGGCTGGAGGCTGCTTGGCCAGCAGCCATGAGCCATGGCTGGTCACACAGCCACAATATGCACAGGCACAGTGGTTGTTCCTCAGCAGCTGTACTGCAAATAAATATCTCTGGTTTTCTTTCTTTCTTTTCCAGACTTTCCAAGCTGTTCACTGCTGATACATATGATGTGGCTGTGACTTTGGGGGTTATAACAACCTAGAACCCCCTGGGGGAAGTCTGTAAGGTAGAAAATGGCTCAATGAAATTATGCAAGGAAGTGTTTTTTAAAGGCTGAAATGAGAGAAATCATTTCC